CGTTCATCCCAATTGTTAGGATTTTACATGTTTCGTATGTGCGAGGCAGGTGCAATATTATCAATATGTGAACACCCGATGATCTCAACGCACAGGACTCTGCCCATAAACTGCTTAGTGGAACCGAATGTAATAAATGTACGCATGTATAATTTTGGTCCTTATGACGCCCTTAAAGCCTTACGGGCACATTGATCTCAATGCCAAGTTACAAAGCATTAAGTGCTACATAAATGACCGCTATGCCTATCGACTCATTTACATGTAATCGAAGCAGGAGTGAGAGAGAATCACAGAAGAGGCTCGAAAGTTAACCAAAACGATATCTATCGATCATAATCACAGGTTAAAAACGACACTTTTCGAGAGCAGCGGTACGCAAACAATGGGAGTTGTCCTAGACATACGTTCCTCCACGGCCTAGCAGGGGCATTGGGCAAATGTAGGAACTTCTATGAGTATTGAAACGATAATCGTGAGCATGGCAAAATTACGTGATGGATGCCGTAAAGAAAACTATATGTGCTCATAAAGGTGCACTTTGGAAGCAATTTTCGGGCATCAACAAGGAACACTGTGTCATTCGGATTGAAACAGCACCAGCTCCATGAGTATGTATAGCTGTCATGACGTTTTTGCGGCGCCCGATCAATTTTTTCGAAAAGATTTAAACGATCTGTGGTAAAGCAGTGTCGACTTGGGCTCAAAAATTACACAGTTTCATAACAAAGTTGGGTAAAACGTACACGTGCTTAATGCGAAACTTCCTAACTATTTATTATTACTTAATCTTTATATGGATCGAGCCAGTAGTTGTCGGTTTGTGCGTTACGTACGCGTAAGTTTCACACAACGTCGCTCTGAAATGGTAGCGGACCCTGTCTTTCTCCAGATTTAGAACGGGACAATTGGAATGAGAATACTGCAAGTAATACCGACGCGTCTCTAGACGAAAAAAAACAGAGCGGGCTGAACGAACGGGAACAAATGTAATCAGTGAGTAGTATTTGCTATATTTATTGGGCAGAGATGGGACCGCGCTTCTTTGGTGACGGATAAATTCGACGAAACATTGTGGTTTCGTAGAGTACAGTGAAGTGGACTAGTGTAGACAGGAATAGAATGAATAAGGCTGCTGATACTTCGGGTGGGGTTTGATTAGACGCTGTCCCTGTTCTTCACTTCATGGATTTCTTCTGCCTTATTCTGTTGGTGAAGTGAAGGTTCCGCCTGATGCGTGAACGCATAACAATGAGTTTCATTCTGCAAACCGATTTGTCAATCTCTGTTTGTTTGTTTGTCTGTCTGTCTGTCTGCACAAGTGCAGCTGGTAATATAGGTACAGGACACAGACGAGGCTCGGACGTAATTGTTGTTTCGACTTGTCAAAGAAAATTGCCTTCTGTCGATTTCTATCAACAAACAATCTTTAGAAAAAAAAAAAAAAAAAACAAAATATTGAATTGTATTTTCAACAAGATTATTACTTTCGCCTCGTGTAATAATACCAAACGCATTATTACTGTCCTTAGTAATGTTTGATGTTTTGTAATTATGTTAAAGCTGCAACTTCAGACTGCGGTATGAAGTAGTCTAGAAAACGTACTAGATGTCATTCGTGACATACTAAAGCACATTAACAAATGATGAAAAAGCGGGAACGCTTGTTCTTCGTTTGTTCTCGTGAGTTTCCCGCTGCCAATTTCGACGACAGCTTCACACAATCGGAACAACGTTTCCAATACATGATTGTGTTCTGCTTGAAGCAAGACTTCAGTAAAACGGATCACCATGATGAGGAAGGCATGCACCATATGTCAAATCTGCCTCTACTTATCAGAAATACGTCCGCCGCCACGGCGGCAGCAAGGACAACAGCCGGCGTTATCCTAATCAGTCTAAAAATAACAGTGACCATGAACGAGGTCGCCGTCCGTGGTGTAAACGCAATTATCGTTTTGTGTTACAATCGAATAAATGTCGACTTTTGTTGTAATTGTGTTGATGGTGTCGACACTGTTTCGCCCTTAGATATGGACTTGCGTGCGTCCTTGTTTGGTTGATAACCTTGTGTATTCGTAAACTAATTCGTAAAGGTTCAATGACCTGTTTGGAACACGTGGAGGTGGGCAGGGAGCATAAGAGTGGAGGACAAAGGAAGCCCTCGGCTATCCGACTCCTTTTCAAAGGGCACACGAACTCCAAAACTCGGAAGAAATCAGGGCACCGGGAAAGTTGTTTACGCCGAACCAAGCCGACCAGTGACTTAACAACCCACAAGTGACCCAGCTAAAAAATATTTAGCAATTCTTTCTCCCGCTTTCATTGTCGTAGATCATCATCATCATCGGCGGCGCCGTCGCGCTCCCCTTCTTATTCTATTGTGTCGTTGTTCATGTTGTTAGATTATTGTTGCTATTGTTGCTTTTGCGATTATGATTTTGTGACGCGAAACAATTGGTGGATATGTAGGTTGTTATTTTTGCCGGTTCTGTGGCGTCGTCGCCTGCGTTCTCTACTCGTGACATAACAGCTATTTTCATTGCGTTCATGTCTTGCCCGTGTGACGAAACGATGCTGTGTACGTACTGCAGGCAACAGGTCTTTATGACGTTGCCGCGGCAGTTCCGGGGGCCAAATCCAGTGGAATGAGTTAAACTGCTGGAAAACAATACGACGCCGCTGAGAATGGTTTGTGTGCGCGCGCCTCCTTTCGTTCCAGCGAAAAATGTATTCACACACACAAACATTGCTTTTATTATACTCAGCTTCTTCGGTTAACTCTGCCGCTGCTTCCCTCACTACCCCCGCCCCCTTCCCCAGCGTTTGTCCATCGTTTAAACGTCATTGTTCGACGAACGATGAACGACAACAGCGCGAAGAATTGGCTTCAGCGGTAGCTTTACCTGGACTGACCGTCGTCGTCGTCGTTGTTGCCGCTGCTATTGCTTCTACTGCGAAGATAGTAGCAATTAGACCCGCTATTTTTTGCCTTTGCCAACAGGATGGGCGTTTTCCATTACAAATATTGGCATGCGCGTAGATATGCACAAAGATAAGCGTACGTCGTAACACGCTCTCGGTCAAGAGTATAAGCGGCAGCACCGAATGATCAGAATCAGCTACGAAGCGTCAGCTTGGTGAGACAAACTAGTAAATATATAATATAATAGAAACGCATAAGATTATTCCAATCGATAATAGAAAAATCGTGCAACAGAACAAAACAGTCCAGAAACAAAAGGTGTATCAAAAAATTTTCATAGACTCACCTTATTAGAACAAGTATAAAAACCTCGGCAAGACTTAGCGGACAGCGTGAGGCTGTATAAAATGATAACGAAATTTCTTTACTTCGATGATTCGACGCTCCGCTGTTTATTCTTATTAACACAATCTTCACGGAAAAAGTAGCACCCGATGGATAGATTAACGAAGAAAATGTTCGCGCAAAACATCAGGTAAATATGCTATCATGTTATCAGCATGACCATATCAGTGCCACTACACCCTTGGCTAGTTTCATCCAATCATGTGTTCCAATTCGTTGCTTGATTATCGATCGAACGGCAGAACTATGAGTAGTGATAGGCTGCAGGATGTCTAGAATCTCCGCGAAGGAACTAGAACGCTTACTTCCTGAGTTCTTCAAGAATTCGCATTCGGAGGGGACGTGATAATCTATATTGCTGACGGTTAACCTGACAACCTGTCGCTTACCTCGCCCTGCGCCCTCCGGCCCGATTCGTTATCGGAATGATTGTTAATGTCCCTTAATCTAAATGCGTATCCAGAATGGCTATTTGTCATTAATCGGACATTACAGAGACAAACATGGTCAAACGCACTCGCTATGAAAGAAAACGCCAACAAACAAGAAGGTAACACTATGCACCGTAAAAGTTCGTGTTCAAAAGTGAACAGAAAGACATCGTAGCACGGAGCCGACGAAAATCGCCTGACGTCCTAACGAGTTGTTATTGTTTGTTTGTAATTATTTATTGAGGCGTTTCAGCTGAATGCTCAGGATTGATCGACCGCCCTCCCTCCCTCCCTCCCTCCATCCAATGGCAGCGGTCCTTTGCGTGACCTTACAATAGATTTGAAGAACCTGTCGACATTAGTTCAAGGGCCTCGTTATTGATCGTTTTATTTGCGGAACTGCATAAACTCTATCGATGTTTGAATAATCTGCGGCGGCTAATCTCATTTTACTCAAACGTAAGGGGCAATGAGTACTGCAGTCAAACCCTTACGCTTGCAGATCTTACTTAGCACAATAAACGCTTTATAAAGTAGTTATACATGTATAATGTCCGATGAATATGAGGCGGGCAATTATTTTTGCTTTATAATTAGATTTGCTTATTTCACATGTTAGCTATTATTAGTGCGCATGAAAGCATGTGGCTGTCTCAGACGCGATCTCAATTTTTTTGTCGAACGCACAAAGCAATGCCTTCCCCAATAGCGCTCAAGACCACAAAGTCTAAATAGTCTTATATTATGGATCGAATCTGTTTCTTAGAACAGTTACGAGTTTCTTTGACACGGTAGCTAACGTCTTTCAAAAATCATTTGTTAGTGTTTTACATTGAAATTCGTAATATGCTTGAAGGGGAATACCGCTTTAAGGGTTCCGGCCGCATTAGACGTACATTGAAGAGTCAATACGAAGGCTAGCTGAGTTCATCAACAGGAACGATATAGGAGTATGAAAAACCTAGAGTATCGGCAAAAGGTTTCCGGAGCCCGAAGCTTCGGAACTACACGTTTCGCGTATATATGCTTATTTTTTTGCTGCTAGTAGCATTTTTTCCCTCCTACGAGACATCTTTCCTTCCGTTGCGAAAAACGTAACATCCTGAGATTTTACGTTGCGTTCGTCATTCTTTATTCACAAGTTAACATTCTCTGCATCGTTCACAGTGGCCGTAGGCACGAGACCCCAGAGAGAACAAATCTGAAATGATCTGTGTTTGCGCAATGTATTATTCTAGGTAGCGACCCATCGGTCTCTCGTGGTGGGCCAGGAGGGCAGCGTTACAGAAATACCTACACCCGATAGCCTCGTAGTGACGTCCGGAACGACGCAAGCACCACGGCCACTGCCCGGGATCGACATCGAGTGCAATTCGAACACGATTCAGATTACTCTTGGACAACAGCACAACTTCAACGGGATGATCTACCCCAAGGTTTGATAATGGCGATCTACGCGAGTCGTCTCGTCCGACGCCAATATGAACTGGGCTTCTTTTCAAAATATATTTCAACAACGGCACAAATAAATAAACAAACCGATCTTCTTGGCTAGTGTATATACCATAAATTATATAACACAAGAGTATCGCAAAAAATAAACAGGTTTTTGGACGGGAGTCATATTTACAGTTTCAGGCTTAAATAAAGTATTCTTTTTTAACAGTTTCATCCAATCCTCGAAAAAAAGAATATCGGACAACATCAAAAGCGGCTCTGGGCCAATTTATCACGATGGCTAAATCCATTTTTATTTTGGTAAAGTATTTCTCATGATTGCGTCACAATCATATCATTATAAGAAACTTGAATGATTGTAGCATCGTCATTATCTGCCAGTTCCTTTGCATCTGAGGCAAAAGATCGAAAGGGACCAAAAGTGAAGCTGCGTGCGTCTGAGGGAATAGAGGTCATCTAAAGTTTTCGGCATCTCAACCTTTATGTCGCTAGAATTTGCGGGAGGAAGATAGCGATAGATGGTATCACAATGATTTGATCCCACAGATATTTTCGTTCGATCGGGTACTGCGGTTCTCGGCTGTCCCAACGGAAGCGTTCTAAAAGCAACGTCTCTTCTCGTAACGAAATAGAAAAAAAAAAAAACGAATCCTACCGCCATTTATTAATGTCGCATATGATACAGTATTTGTTTTTTGCCTCTTTTTTTTAACAGATGCGTGTTTTTCAGTTTTATTAGTAAACGTTACGATGTAGAGTTCATTGTCCGATAGGGGTTTAGTAAGCATTGCAGAAAAGCAGCTACAATGAATTAAACGAACAAGTGACCCTTAAAAGAAGCACACGTTTCGTAAAAATATCTATAATTTGTATTTTGTAAGGCACTTGGCGGAACAGACGCCCATAAAAAAAACTAGTTACGGCTACGATAGTGACGTCTTAATTTTTCAGCTACAATGTCGATTTACGTCATCTCTATTTCAGGGTTTATCGAAGAATTCGTCGTGTATGGTGGAATACAGTAACGTCCGCGACAAGCTTGTCTACACGTTGCCGCTTAGAAGCTGCAACACCATGAGTACCGATGTGGTTAGTGATTAATTTCATGGTTCGATTTGCCTGCTCATGATAGTTAACGAAGATCTTCTAGCTTCGTATACGGATACTAAGCGACACCCTAACCTTTATGCCCTGTAACACAGAGACATAAAACGATGCGACTGAGGTAGTGTTTTTTCGAAAAATGGAAATCACCTCCAAGCTCCTGAAGATTTCGAAATAGATCTTTTGAAAGAAAAGTATGCTTGTTATGTGTCTGTAGAGCACATCATCATGGGGCACACTAGAATACACTCTGAACGATATTTCCGATAACGGTGATGTGCCCTTTTATGACTCCGTTGGCTTAGAGTCGTTTTTACGCTAAGCCGACCGACGTCTAGGACCAATGTTGAAACATTTGAATAAATATAGTTTACACAAGTGATGATTGGGTAATAGTTCATTTTTTTTCCACTTCTTTTCTTTAAATGAAGCATTTTAATTTTTTTTTGGGTCGAGTCATTCTTGAAGCTTTACCTTAATGCAACGATGATTGCGAGGTACAAGCTTTTATTGTAGATTGCACAGAGCAGTGTCACGTTGAAGCACACGTTTCCACTCTAGTTCTTACTTAAAGTTTGTTTTTTTAGTTTTGTAGTAATTTGTTTCATTCTTATTATCTCTAAGGAATTAATGGAACTTTCAGCCATCTCTCCAGCAGTGCTACCAAATATTTACCATCTATGTTTTTTTGTTTAAAGTCATACTGAGTTGCATCTGCATTTTGCTACATTGCCATCTGATCGTGCGAATTTCAGCCGAGTCTTCAATGAAAAAACTCAAGCATTCCTATCCGAGATTTACTAAAAATATATAACTCTGCATTGCAAGACTGATCAAATGAAAGGTATTTCTGATCCCTTTTCCATAGAGAAAATTAAAGTTAACGTTAACATCTCAAGAACAAGAGTCAGTAAAAAACCTGGCATCACCAGATGCATCGTAAATTGAATATCCCGATTTATTAATCGTTCTTCATGGTCATATCTTCTATTATTATTATTGACTGTAGCCTATCTAAGCTCGTACCAAATTAAATTTAGATAATTTATAATGTGAAATTTTCACCTAGATATCTAAGCTGCTTTCCAATTACAGTTACTTGCGAATGCAGTGAAAATGTAAAAATTATAGCGCCAAAAAACGTTCAAGAGGGTTGAACAATAGCGAGAAATGTTCACCAGCTACGTTCAGATAGGATTATACGTTATCGCGAAAGCTTATCATGTAACGCCATTCATCATTTGCATTACGTCAACAGATGACGCGCTGACCGTTGAGAGAACTTCACGAAACGCTTTGATTTTTGCTGGAAGCAACAAACAATTTTGCACACGCTTCAGGTGTATTTCTCGCTTCACGCGATCGTGTACATTATCTCAGGCGCGCTTCGTCTCAGCGTTCGGCCGAACGGCCTTTTCTGACGTTTCGATATTGTTGAAAACGTCAGCTAAAACATAGCGATTGACAGGAGCTGAGTTGGACTCGTGTTGTCATATTTAATACGATAGAGTTCAGCGAGTTTAGCTGGTAAGCGTCGATATCTGTCCTTCTTTTTTGCGTGCGGTAGTCTACTTTGAAATTCTCTTCGCTGTGTTACATTGCGCGCCCTGTCGATGCCGGGACTGACCAACGTTTGGCCGACCAAAAATGGCCAACTCACTCATCAGCATCCCAAATCTGTGAATGGCGAGTATCCTTTTTGAAAAAGATCAATTTCGGATTTTTTATTTAGTGCTGATAACGTAGTGGGGCCGGAATTAAGTTTTTTGCTGGGCAATAGAATAGGAATGGATTAAACGTCCAATCTGCCTTGTAGATGCTATCTGACGGTTAAAGCAGGGCTCATTCTCTATTTCTTCCATAATTTCACTGTCTAATTATCGTATGTAGCGTACACAGAAGGGGGTCGAGACAGTGTGAGAAATGGCATAACTATTAGTAGCACAAAAATGCCATTAATAGAAGAACATATCTTATTATATTTCTACCGTTTGGTGCAAAGTTGGCGAAGTAAATTTCGTTTTGTAGCCGGATTTGCTTTTAAAAAAGCATCATGCATCCTCCACAATTACGTATTTATATAATACAACAAATTGACTTTGCGACAAGCCTGTTTATGTGGCCGTGTCTGGATCAGGTCCTGGAATTGAACAATGTATCAAGTATTAGATGGTGAAGCATTTATGTGTTTATGGCCGGTGCTGGAAGAATGCCCGCCGTAGATGTGAAAGCTTTCAGCGAAGTTTCACATTTAAGCTATAAATTTCCGCTAAGCACTTTTACCATTGAAGTTATGAGTGGTGATTCGATGGGATTCTGCACACACGTCAGGTTCAGCATGGCACAAAAGCAGGCACAGTTTTATTTGTAAAAAAAAAAGGGGGACTTTTCGATGATTTGTTTCTTCCTCCTAACTGGCAGGACAGCATATGGATAATTTTATCGACATTGTGTTGATTCAGTATCAGCACAACTAGGGGGCCGAACACAAACTCGAAAATACCTCTTTAAAAGTTCCTTTGCTCGCCAAAAAAAGAACGCCACGAGCCCTAACGACAAAAATTTAATCGAGATAAATCAAAAACATTTTCGAAATTTATGGATAAACGTCAGATCGTTTCCGACGATTCAGTTAGTTACGTAAAAGTTGTCCAGGCAGCAATGGGTAACCAACTGGACGGCGTCGTCGCAACTAGTTATCGATCAAAAATGGCGAATGTTTCTAATAGATCAGCGACGCCACCCGGATCGACACCCTTTGAAAGGTGGTTTGAGTCAAAAACGATCTGATGATCGATAGAAAAAACGAGAGCTTACTTGAAACAACGGCATTTTCCCGCAGTCATCTCTTAATTTAATTTAACTCGCTTTAAAACAGCGTTGCTTACTCTTTCTGTTATACGTTGAAATGCAAGACTGCAGTTGAAATATCTGCTCTCATTTGTGTCATCTAGCATCAGTACAAGTTAATTCATAACGTCCCTGTAGTAGATTAGTAGGTAACACTTGCATGTTTGTCTAGGGACACGTGGTGATCTAGGTTCGAATCCGGGCATGGACACACGGTTGTTTCCCGATGGACTGCCTGACGGCGGTGCCGGACTCAAAACATGTAGGTTAGTCCATGACGCGTGTGTCCTTGACAAACATAGCACTCGATAGGTATCAAAGATACACGACAACTACAAATATTGAGAGCTTATTTCAAGCCGACTCGAATGAAACTATAGTATAGGCAGTCACTGCTGTGAACTGTTCAGTGTAATAACACCATCCTGTACTGCAGTGGTATCCTCTGCTACTAGATGTTCTTTCAAGGGACATCTAGACACTTTTGGCAAGAGCCAACAAAAAATAAACAGGCACTTTGTTAAGGGACATCAGCAAGCTGCATGGTTCCTGCGGACCTTCAACGTATTGGAGACGGTATTGGCCAACAATAAGATAACTGTCTTATTGTTGTTTTTATTCAGTGCGTTTTTCACAGTATTTAATGGCATTCGTTGTTAAACGCATTCTATTGGAGATTTGGCAACAAACTGGAGGGGGGAATCGTTTGCAGTGACCGCCTATCCCATCGGCACGTTACGGGAAGCCCGCGTTGGTAACTGTTGTACGCAGAAGCAATCATCTACGGAAGCCCACAGGTTTTGCCGTTGTATTAGTTGGCTGGAGGGAACCGAATTTATATGAAGCTCGGAAATAAACGAAACTATATTTGTATACATGTTGTTAAAACATCATCATTGAAACATAGTTGTGGTATTCACATATATACATTACATACATTCATATCTGGCCTTAGCGGAGGCCAATAAAAGATGCTAAATGGATCTAGCAATGCCATTCCTATTTATCTCGACTGTGCTAAATATAATATGAAACTAGAAATTAGGAGAGACATTATATGAAAAGGACTTTCAACATGTTTTCTTCCACATGAAGACCGTTTCGTGAGCTTCTACCATGTGTAGAATCGAGTGCGTAGATTGATTGTACATAAACCTGTTGGGTTAATCTATTTGGCCTAAATCTTTGCCACGAATATGCGTATTTTTTGTACTGCCTCCGTTGTTACAACCGTTACGTGTAGTAATTAGCGCCGCCGAAAAATAGACAACCGATATGGTTTCAAAGAAGAATAGTATTCACGGTCGATAATTGACATTTGTAAGAGATGCAATTACTATGACAGTTTTTGTATTACGGCCTATAACCTGTCAGTTAGCATCATCGATAAAGATTTGTTCTACTGTAAATACGGTTGTGCTTTCTGCTATTTTTAGTGCTGTTGCCATTTAGAATGCTACGTTAGTTAAGAGACAGCTGGCGCCCAGTACGAAATTAAATGCATTTGGCATCGGTGTAGAATCTAGTCTACCTCGCGTCTCTTTAATGCTAGCAGGTAAACATACTGCTACTGCATTCCCACTAGGAATACTGACGATTGAAAGTACTGCCACCCAATTCGGCTGTATCTCTGCGTGGTCTATGTACAGGTATTACGATGGTGCTGCCGCCAATCTTGTTCCATCCAACACGTTGTAATATGCATGTAAGCGCCACTGTTTAAGTTATCAAGTGGGAGTTGTCACTGGCACATAGATGCAGTTTTTAAGAAAAATAAAGATAATAAATCATCGCCATCATTCGACATACACTAGTCAGGATAAGAACATCGAAGGTATGTCTTATTTTCCATGTAGGGATTAGCTTTTGACAAGATAAGTTATTTGCTGCATGTGTTATTGCTAAGGGCGGACATAAGATAAATACAAACTGTTGTCCAAAATAACCAAGCGTTATACCCACTTTCATATTTGTAAATGTTCGTATTTAGTGGACACGCTAGACACTGATGGCCCATGAAATCCAATGTAGTCCAACGCTGGGCAAATCGATTGGGCTCTTTAGTTACTGGTTGGCTTGATTTTCTACACTACCAGGTTCCTTAATGACTTCATTTTTATTTACTTTTGTAATATTCATTGATTTCTGACAATCGACGTTTGTCTAGTGCATTGATTTTAGTAGAACCACAGTACTCTTGATGATGGCTTGAACCCCGCTAGCTGGACTTAAATCGAGCAGTACAGCGAATTGCTATGGGTACGATGATGGGTGCCGATTCTTATTCCTTCTTTATGTTTAATACTCTCCCCTCCATTCGTGGGGTTGCGTGAACCAAAAACATGTCGCTCCGCTACTAACCTTTGCGACTAATACAATTAACATCCGTTCAGATCTGACGTGTTCGTCCCCACGACGCTGTCGGTTAATGTCAGCTTATGAAATACTGATTTCATTCCCGCCGTCAGCTGTAAACAAAAGCTGTGTTCAATGTCGCCGAAGCATTCAAGGATAGCAGCGCCCAGATTATATTTGTTAGATTTGGCATCCGGTTGCGTCACGAGTCTCTAGTTGTCCTTTTACCTAATAGTGAAAAAATATTTGACGCTCATCTGAAGAAAAGCAAATTGTGAAGCTATGAAGACGTGCCAAGCTTCGAAGAAGCATAGCGAAATAGATAGATTACTGTCTTACGTGATTGTTTATAGATCTGATAGTGCCAACATTCACAACTACTGAAATGGACGGCAGTTTTGCCCTCGACTTGAAAAGCCACTAGAATTTGAATATAGCATGCAACTGCAACCAGCTCAGGCTCTTAGACCTACTAGTATATTTCAAATTATTACGATGACTTCTTAGTCGTAGCACGGGACATCACTGCACGAATAAGAATAGTTAAAATAACATCTAGGAGGAAAATGCCGACATACAAATAATAAAATAACTGTATGCATTTAGCACAGATTTGATTGAGGCCTATTGCTGGTCCACTACAGATACTGCTAGAGTGACGGCTGTTGTTGTTGTCTCGATTCTCGTGATCGTTGTCGACGAGGCCGCCGCTAATGGCAACATCTGTGCCACTGGATAAAGCTATTCCAACGGTTGTTACTATGTGTTACGCAAAACTATCTATACGTGCTACACGGTTATAGCTTGAATACAATCTGACAACAAGCGTAGACGTAACAGCTTCTCTTCAAACTAACCTTTTCGTACATATATACTCTTGATGAGCATAATCTAGGGAGATTCTGATTAATGTTGTTCAAGGTCAGCCACCTAAACTGTACCAAACTTTTCTATTATTGTTCAGGACGATGGGGTAGAATACTTCAACACAGTGGTTGTTCAGCCCCACCGAAAATTGGTAACAAACCAGGGCAAAGGATTTCATATTCGTTGTCGATATCAGACAAAGGAAAGGCAGGTCACTAATAACTTTAACGTCAGGTAAGTGTAATAACTTAATACTTAGAATTAGACTCCTAACACGAATTTAGTGTACATTACCAACCTAAACCACTATCTCTTGTATTTCTCCATATATTAGGAATCCGTGTAAACTGTTATTAGTAAAGCAAAGCACGAAAAGTGACGAATGAAACGGTATGAAGCGACAAAATCGGTGCAGACTTATTATGGTACCGGGGATAACTGAACTTTCGAAGAACTGATGGTGGCTATTCACATGTCAATGGATTATGACAAATCGAGATATAAGTTAAAATAAGAATAGGGATGAAACGTTGTATGCTTCCAGCCAACTGGGAACAACTCCGCTTGTGGCGACGGCACCGATGCCTGACTGTTCCATGAAAATCTACGTTGGAGATTCGGAGCAAGAAGTCGTGGCGGAAAACGTTAAAATTGGTGATCCACTCACACTTGTCATCAATATCGACCTGCAGGGTGGGTGTCTACCTGCATACTGGATAACCGTACTATTTTACACATTATAAACTGAGTGTTAAATGGTGATTGCATCGTTTTTATTTCCAGATGTGTACGGTATGCGAGTAACCAACTGCGTTGTTCGAGATGGCCTCAACTGGGGCGAGCAACCACTTATCAACAACGAAGGGTACGTTGATCCCCATTATTATATCACTATTGTCCTGAAGATAAAAGGTACACATGTAAAGGGGACATAAGTAATCGTAGTGCAAGCCTTTCGTTTAAGAAAAAGGATACCGATAGAACAACTGAGATATTACTGAAGGTCGTTGTTCTTATTCGCTTTTAGAAGTTTTTTTTCTATTTTTGCTTTGTTAGAAATATTGACCCACGCTGACTATATCGTTGTTATTCTCCACAAGGAACAGGAGGTAATGTCCCACTTGATTATTCGCTCGGCGCGAACCAAGGTTGTTATCCAAGCTTAGCGCCGAAACAAGATGCTTTATTATCTTTTTCCGAATCTCAAAAGTGCCTCATGATTATCTATTTAGATGAATACAAAGCGTATGATGCATGAGTGTATTACCTTGCTTCATAAATAGGATTGCAGTTTCAGTCATTTTCATAAAGCTGGGAAAGTTCATTATAACTTCGGTATGGTAAGTAATAATGAGTTCTTAGAGCATCGAGATCACTGGCTATAGTTACACCAGTTTTCTTTTTTGTCTAGTTTGTTATAGGTTTTTTGGGTCGTTCGTAATCTAACATGAAGCAAAATTTCAAGGTTTTTTGAGATAGAAAAATCTACTAGTCGGTACCTTTGCATCTTTTCAGATGCCCGATCGATACAGACATTATGGACGCATTCGAATATTCGGAAAACAAGACAAAGGCCATGGTTACATTTCAAGCACACAAATTCCCATATACCGCTTCGGTTTACTATCAGTGCAACGTAAAACTCTGCCTCAAGTCATCAGGTGGATGCGATGATGTTCCACCGAACTGTGATTCCCAGCTCAATGGTCTCTTGCTGCCCAGTCGCAAACGTAGAGATGTAGGTACGGTACGTGATTTGGAGGGCGTAGAGGCCGACGTCCGAGATATGAATATTGAGGTATTTTCCGGACTCTATGTCAATGAAGCGTCCGATTCCGACCAGCCTGAAGGTAAAACATTCATTTCTTTTTTTTTTTTTTTTTTGGTACTGTTGTTACTATAATACTTTGATTGAAAGTGATATTATAGTACGATAGCATTTTGAGTAACGAATGACCAATTGTCGACTGGATTAAAAAGATTGCGTTGGTGTTCATTAGAATACGTATAAATGAAGGTCTTGATACTAAGGGTACCTTTTGAGGAAAAGCTGGAAAATCCTTCTTTTGTAGTTTCTAGGGTAACAACATGTGTGAAAATGAATGAGTCAGGTTCTTTTACATGCGAAGCCCTTAACTTACCCACGCTTGGTAGCTCTTTAGCTCACTTTTAGAGTTCTATTTTATCGATTAGAGTTCTATATCTATTTTATCTGTTATATTGTTTCATAATTTTTCAAAAGCATTTAAGAGTATATAAAGTTGACAAAAAATTTCCTTGAACGTGCTAAATGCACAAATCTCGTGAAACTGAGTGCGATATAGTTTGCAAAGCAAGTGTTCGAAAAATTTTACAGAGTGTTACAATTAAAAGTTGTACATGTCAAATAATGGTGCCCCATATCACCAGTTTTTCATAGAAAAGGCAGAGTCGCACAAAAAATATCGTCATTAGCAATCTTACCTACCAGGTGGCGCCAGGGCATCCCATCTATACAAACTACTCGACGAAGGGTCAAATCAAGTCCCGGCGCAGGACCAAAAACAAAGGAAAATGTGTAACTAGTCGGCACTGCAATTAAATAAAAAAAACGCTCGCTAAAGCGCCATTTAGCCAGCACAAATGCTTAGAGAAATAAGTTAGTTGAAAATAAATTATTGTTAATTATATGATAAGAATGCACACTCAATCTTATCAACTAACTATTCATCTATACTCGTTATTTTCCAGAGAATAAATTTATCGTCAATGCAGTAACAAAATTATTAAAATTTAAAATCTGCGATTACAAATCCGGAATACACCACACGGGTTTTACGCTGGCTTGGAGTCAATACTCGGGGACCCATTTTCTACCGAGTTTCTGCACTTTTAGAATTTGTGTTATAATTCTGTGACCCGTTGCATGTAAAATGCCAGCTCTAGCCGACAGAGCGTTTGGTTATACGCTCTGGTTTAGTTATTATTCACGTTCTACAGTTCTGCTTAGTGCATCTTTGCCTAATGCCTTCACTAACCTTCAATCCAGTTCCATGGCGCTGTGGTTTTTGAGAATAAAAATCGAGTGTTGATCTTCGAGATCAAAGGATGTTTTTCCTTCTGAACTCCTTTACCGTGAAATAAACTCAGCCAGTTTTCACTCACAGGTTTCTAGAAAATGTAATAATTAACAGCTAAATTTTATCTAGTAGCGGCGTGTAGCTCAAAAATTATTCAGTCTCAATGTCTGCTGAGCAGACAGGAGGCGTAATGTCCACACTCTATTTTACTCAGACGTTTTGCGATTGCAGCAATCCCTTTTCAGGTCAAGAGGGGTAAAATCTTCTCCCTACTCCTCAACGTTTTAATTTCCGTTCTGAAATGACTCAAATAGTAATGAACTATTTTGTCATTCAAGCCTGCCCCCCGCCTAGTTATTTCGCTAATCTGCGATAGATTCGGCCAGCCATACTTCACTTTTAAGAGTGAGAAACTCAATCACTGAACGTTGACTTCCAGCACTACACGACATCTTTTTCATCTTTTCGTATTGTTCCCCGATGGAACTCGACCAGGTTATCATGATAGATGGCCAAATAATCACCAAATTTCATCTTCCATAACTCGCAATTAATCTAACTCTTTGCAACCAGTTAGAAGCTTTTCATATACTCCAATACTATTCTTAGATAAACACATGAAATTTAGCTAATTTATTTAAATTAGTGGTCATTTACAATATGTGTGATACTATGATCGTATTGAAAACGCTACCCTGCCTTTAGCAAGGTGTGTTTCATTATTTTAAATGAAAATTAAAACTCATATTTTTCTTTGCCTTCCAGCTGCTGCCGCTCCATCAACTTCAGCGTCATCTCAGTTCGACTTCTGTCTCTCAACACGAAAATTCGCTATAGGCATTGCCGTACTGGGTCTCCTGTTGATGCTCGTGGTCATGCTATTGGTAGCTTGCATTCTCCATCGGCGCCGTCGAAAGCAAGTGTCCTCGGTGGCATCATCAGTCTATTCCGGCCATCCCTATTCGAGTTCTGCGCAATCCACCTATTCGAACAGGGCGTATAGCCATTAGAAGCATTAGACACTAAAACGGCAACGTTGATACAGCGCTTCAAATAATAGTAATGATTAATATGACAACAGGGTAAACTACCCTAATACGAGCCCCTTGCCGCACCAATATGTATTTAATGTTATGTATCCTCGCGATCGATACAGATGGAAGTCCCCAGATCAGACGGCCTGTAAAGTATTTTAATAACATACAGGAGGTAAGCTAGGCGTCGTCTACCGGTTTTTAATGAAGCCATTTGCTAATATAATAACTCAGGTGTCCTGCTGGCCATCTGTCTGGAAAGCTAGTGGCAGCAGATTATGCAAATTGAAAGCGATATAGATAACAATGATATAGCTGAAAATATCTTTAGAACTCTAAATTTAATAATGACTTTGCAATGGCAGAGTGAGGATGGACTGACCTTATGTGACAAACGGTCGAAAAAAAAGATCAGACAGTATTATTTATTACTAGTTCGAAATATTTATCAGTTATTATTATTAATTATTTTTATTATATGAATTGTATAATTGTTTATTTGTTCATCCGTAAAATTGTTTTTCCGAAATGGTTGTCATGAAGTTAAAACCACTTTGCAAAGCAGCTTACGTTAATTCCATGCATATCCAGTATAAGCTCGCAGTATTTATGTATCGCTTGAACAGCTATCACGGGGATAATTGACACAAACGTTCTATAGAATCAGTGAGTTAAACTCCGCGGCGAGTGTGCACTACTGATTTCCACTATACGTTACTACAACCATTAAGTTAGCGCTCGGAGGAGCATTGGTCAGGTTTTTACTTTCGGCCCAGCAATTCTGCTGGACGAAAAAGCGATCTCAGCGCCATCTCTCGGCGCGCGGGCGCAGCTATTCCATCCTATATATTTCATCCTATAACGCATGTTCAATTACCTGCCTGAATTGTGACATATATATATATATATATATATATATGCGAAATAGTCTGGAACAACTATAATGGTTATGAAATGTGGAAAGTGCGAATTATGTACTTGCGGCGTCTTCTTTACGTCACGAAACTTATAATCGGTTTGGACATGCCAATAATGTTGGTGCCAAACGAGAGGGTTGGCCTGAGGAGCTTCAGAAAAGTAGTTCGCAGTAGACGTTGTACTGAATGATCCGTTTTTGGCAGGAACGATAAGCAGGTGCTAGTTCTGAGTATCATTATAATACCATTCTTATTATTATTAATGTACCAATACGTGGATTCTACAGTTCGTCAGTTAGTCTGTCTACCGGTTTTTCCTGTGTCCATGCCTGCCTATCTGTCCATGCGTGTGTGTTTGTGTTGTGTGTGTGTGTGTGTGTGTGTGTTGCGTGTGTGCAATTGTATTACGAATTAACGTCATGTCACCTCTTCTGAATATCCAACTAATCTAATTATTTATTAATGAAGACCTAGAACGTTGGAGAAAATGGTTTTTGTATTTTACGCTGACTGGGCAGCCCATAACGAGCATTTAACAACATAGCATTTAACATAATTCACCAAACAACAATGTGCCAAAGTATGTCCCGTCTACATTCTAAACAGTATTCTACATTTTACCTTTTGACCTAAGCAGTATTTTTTTCTCTTACCTGCTTACAGAGTTTATCTAAAAATAACGTTTTCTGGGCTATGTAGGGTAAATAGTATGTAACTGCTAGGTGAAATGAAGTGTGAGAAAGCGACGGGTGAGGATCGGCGAAGATATTATGAGAATGACTAAAATACGATTCAATATATCCAATTAATGTCAACGCTAAATGCTAACCATAGCATGTGATGGTCATTTAGAAGCATTTTAGTCCTTTAACTCTCGATTTACGTTTTTTTTTATCGCAATTGTCTGCACACCACCATGGATTTGACAAAGCTAAACAGAGCCTTTATATTTCTCTCAATTTCATTAGATTCTAATTGTTCAACATGTGTAACACAAACTATACCCGAACAGAGATCTGCAATTACTAAGATCTTCTCTGGAATTTTGAGAATAGAAAAAACTATATCGTGGCCTATTGCTTTATGATGAGTTAATATCAAAAACAAACGAACGAATACTCTACAAATCTGAAACAAAGTTTCAAACAACGCCACATCGTGACATTGAGCTATGAGAGTGCAGATAGGTAGCTTGAAGTCTACTAAAAAGATGAATATGGAGTGTGACAACTATTATTGTCACCATGGATGTCATGAGCAAAATGGTTAGGAGAATAAAAAAGTAATAAACATATTACTTTAATAAATACCGATAATAATGTTAAGTGTCAAAGGTGACTATATGATGTAAGCCAAACTGGTTGATTATTGTACTAGACGGGCTTCGGCAGCTGAGGATGTGTGGAGAATAAATATCTTGCTTACACACCTCGTTTCTTCCCGCAATTACCAGTTGGCATCAAGTTAATTACGTTCTTGGCGTATGATATAAATGTAAGTATAGATAGATAATAACACGTCACTGGAACCGATTTGCAAACCAACCAATTGCATTTACTCGTAGCTTGTCACTTCATCATTGCGATTTTTGATGTAAAATTCGTGATTTGTATTTCATTTTGAAATTTCATTCTACAAGTTATTAGGTGCAACATGCATTTATGGAAAGCATTTTTTGAGTGTTTCAAAAAAATATTGCTTTTACGAGTTTTGGCAACCGCACATTTATAGAAATGATTGCAATCTGGGCAGTGCCTATTTCTTTATTTTATCTTGGTAATAGATTAAAAAGTAATAATAATAATAAATATATCGATTGAAAGATGACTAAAGATCTTTTTCTTTCAAGCAAAATCAAATTGCTGCAACTTGTTTTGGCGTTCATAATACTTTGTGGGCATTTTTAGTTCTCAATTGATGGATGTTGATTGTCCATAATATATCTTCAAAATTAAAAAAAAAAAAGCAAATAAAAAAGACACGTATTTTTTGCCTTCGTTAATTGGAACTTCTAGTTTGGAAAAAACGTTTATTTTTTAGTTTAAATAAAAATACGGGGCATTATCCTTTTAATTTAATTTTCTGTACTATTCTTTTTATGGTACACTTTTAATTACATCATGAGGCCTGATTTGTGGTAGATTAGTTCAAATTCCGTATTTTCCACAACATCTCACATGTACTTTGTTGCTTTCCTTCAGGTGTTACCAAATTCTATAATTACACGGCTGTTAGGATGAAACGCTAATATTCCGTCAAATGCTTCCCGTTCTGGGTTGAAAAAAATAGGGATTTAAGTCTGGTGCTGAACATTATGATATGCGAAAGCCAGCCGTCAATTATCTACACCGTTTTCCTTATTTTTAGTTTCTTTATATGTATACAACAAAGTTCTTACACTTTGCTTGTGGTATATATGCACAACTTTAGTGTCTCTGGGATGCTCTTTCCTTTAGGATGCAACAATGTTTAACACTGTCTTTACTTTCCGTTCTTTTTTAAAAGCGAGATAGTTTAGTGAAAAATAGACGCATAAACTACTATATGGACTCTGCATTGGCGAAAATAGATCGAAGTCGATGCCATTGTCGTCTCGAGCAACTCGTTTTCTCATTGCCCTCTAATGACGGTATATATGCAGAAAAATAAAACATTAAATAGTCTACTATCATTAAGGCATTCAAGGAAACAACTATTTTCCGATGCCCTTGAAGCGTTTGAAAAGTGGATGTCTGTTCATATCATTCTTGGATCTGCGTACTTCGGCGTACATATCGCCCGCGTCTGCTCCAGATAAACCGGCCGCGCCGCCGGCCTTCTTTTGAGTTTTCATTTGGAATGGTGATTCGGTGGGAATACCTTCGTCCTCATCTTGGTCTCCTGCTTGCATGACCTAACATTTGAGAAAAATGTACAACAGAATCTTGAGGATGTGTGATTCACTTAATAGTCACTTCATTTTCTCACCGTTCAATAACATATGTTAAAATATAAATTATTTATTGATATCAAGTCTATAAACTTGATTGATCTTTTCTTGTGCGCACAGAATAGAAGTAGACCACAAAACAGAACTTCAAATTTAGAGCCATTAAACTTACATTGAAGTATGGCTGAGAAGCCTTAAAGTAGCTTACCAACCTGTGCAAGTAATCGGAGTTGATCTTGTTTGTTCCTGTAAAGAATTCCCTCTTCTTCGTGAAGGCCTTCTAATTCCGTAATCACCTTATAGCTGTAACCTTGATTGACCAAGAACCGTTGTCTACGGCGTGAGAAATACATTTCCATAGTATCTTGAGATACCAGTGAATAGAAGAAAGCATTAGAAGTCCCCTTTTTTGCACGTAGGATTCGCCCTGAAGTGTACAATATTAGTGGTGGAATGTGTTAGAAGCAGATCAAAAGTTCTCTGGGGCTGCATTTTAATAAAATTATCAATTTCCTAAAGTCTGCTTGCCAAATATATCTAAGGTTCATCGAATTTGTATCTCTCTATTTATATCGAACTACTTAACTTTCCGTTAACTTGCAGTGCGCGAATAACAGCGATGTAAATTAATTAACGTTTTAATAGTTTTACAGCAATCAATAGCCAGCTTTGAAGTAAAACTGCAGAACATTGCTTACCCAGGCGTTGGGCCTCTTGCCTTCGTGAGCCACCGTGGGCCGAAATCTGAATGAGGACATTTGCCTCCGGAAGATCAAAGCTAGTGTCCGCAACTTTCGATACGAAAATGGTGTTTACTAATGGGTTGTACTTGAAGTTCTGTAATATTTGCATACGTTCTGCCTGTGATGTTGGTCCAAAAATAAAAGGCTTTCTTAGCTTCTCGGCAAAGTGTTTTAAAGCAAACACGTTATCCGAAAAGACAATTATCTTATCCTTTCTTCGCTCATGGTACTGAATAAGATACTGACAGATTTGAAATTTGTTTGGATTCATGACAAACAACAAACACTTTTTTGCCGATCGTGCCGATAGGTACTCGCGATAGAACTCCGGAGTCATTGGGCACCAAACTTCGGAACAGGTCACCTTAGCAATATACCCTGCTTTCTGCAGCTCCAACCAGTTTGCTTCATATATCTTTGGCCCAATCAAAAAGTTGAGATCGGCAATTTTGTCGTCTTCTCGCACTAACGTAGCTGTCAGGCCGAGTTTGCAGTGTGCTTGTACAAGGGTGAGCACTCGGCGAAACATTTTGGCAGGAATAGTATGCACCTCGTCAAGCAACATCATACCCCACTCTTGCTCCTTTAACCATTGCATCACTTGCTCACCTGACCATCACAGAGCAGGATATTCGAATTAGTACATCGAATAAATGTAACAGTTTCAATTAACTTACGTTTGTTAATTAAAACCGCTCGAGAGCAAATAAACCTAAACAAATGTAAACAAAAAATACCGATAAACCTGAATGCATAACATGCAATCATGGAGCTAGTTCGAAAGCCTTGGATCAATGTAAATTATTAGATGAAATTGTCTTTAAATATTGCAGTTTATTTATTATTTAAATATTGTACTGAAGGTACATAATACAGATTCGCCTACCTTCCCAGCTCCTTTTTTGTGTATGAGTGATCATGGAATAGGTCGTAATACAGATGCCGCAACCTATTGGTTTATCTTTTGCTTCCGATGTAAAGCGGCAAATCATTGAGTCATCCGCAGTTGACCACATTTTGAACTGTGCCTTCCATTGTTCCACCGACACGCCAGAGTTACATAGAACCAAACAACGTTTCCTTACTGTGCAGCACGCAGTCACTCCTAACCACCACAAAGACATCAATTTAAATGTTCGACCATATGGACATAAGAGATTTCAGCTATACAATAGTACCATATTGCGTAGTTCTAATATAATTTAACGCCTGATAGAAATCTGTTGTGATTATAAGCATGAGCAATCGAGTTCACTTTTTTAATATTGGATCTGCTACAATCCGGTGCACGCCACACAAGAAAACCAGCTTTTAAGAGTTTGTACGAACACTTCGTTATAACATATAATAAAGACGTACACTACACGAAGGTTTCAACGAGAAAAGACAACATAATCACGCACATTTTAACGGTCGAGACGTTTTTACCTGTAAGTGATTTCCCGGCTCCACAAGGTAAGACGATGACTCCAGAGCGAGCGCGGCCGTTACCAAACATCTTTCTAAGCGACTTCTCCTGGTAAGGTCTAAGAAGAGCTGATGGTTTTAAATCTACGTTAATGTCAGGATTATGTGTGTCGTTCTTGAAGTCGTACTCTGCCAAAAGTGGATACTCGAGTTCGATGCAGCGCCTTTGTATGTCTTCGATTTTATCTTGCATCACTTCGAATGACACTACTTTCGTTTTTCTTTCTGGCTCTTCTTCGTCCTCATTCTCCATCCGGGAATAGAAATCGAAAATGTCCGAAGGCACTTCCGTTTTTTCGGAGGCTTCACTAAGCTTCGAACCTGGTGCCGCCTGAATTGGAATTAAAATTGAATTTAAAAAACCATGCACAAAAACCTTCTGATTTTATAATGCGCACACTCATAATTACCGTATGTCCATTAATTAGACTCTCAAACTAAATTACATCCACTAAAGACAAAGCAAAATCGATGATTTTTTATTAGGAGTTGCGATTGCGCATCATGTTCGTCGAAGCGTAACAAGGCATAACCTGTCGGTTTTTAACCAGGAAAACAGTGAAACTCGGCATCCCTTCTCGTAGTTACTGAGTTCCTATTCTTTGTATTCCTTGAATGCACTTCAATTCAAATAGTGCTAAATATTATCACATTGTTTCTTTACAAAGCAGAAAGTACTTGCTTGAGTTAGCGGTACAGTGCAGCAGAACACACCACATACCGTTTGTTTGACCGCACCCTCTGAAAAGAGCTCAACGTCATCTTCGCTTCTCTTTAAGCGGCAATTCTGAATGACAGGATCCTTCAAAAGCTTCTGAAGCACTTCTGGGTGGCTACTTTCAACAAAGTAGCGATTTTGTTTTAAAACGAGTTTCACTTTGCCATACGATTCGGTGCACATCTTTATAAATTCAATAATCCCTGAAACACATTATTTTAAGGAACTACGTATCACCATACTCTAATTAATGGTCATCATACAGTATGATTATTAGCAAGTATAACGTAAAAAGCAACTAGAATTAGGCTTAGAACACTCACGAGTAAGTCGGATGTAGAAACTAGCTTAGGCGCTACCATTCATTTCTAACAAGATGTGATAAAAGCAAACCTTAGTTATCCGAAATGATATGTAAGCGACTGTATCATTTGAAAAGGCTGAACCTCTAAGCCCTATTATACTTTTTCACTAAAATACTGAGGCATATGGTGTACTGACACTTACCCTCTGGAATACTAGTTTTACTAAGACGTCGTAAATATTCAATGATATCATCAGTTTGCAATCCAACAGATACTGCCGCATAAAGCGAATATGAAGTGAGCTTGTACTCGTGAATGAATTCAGGTCGGCAGACTGGCTCGGATATTGCGATCAGGAAATCGTGGGCGTGCTTAAACACAGGTGAAAACGCCTCCAAGAAGATGTGCCCATCACCTGACTACATAAAAAACGGGTAAGCCTAATCAAATAACCCACTCATGTTTTCAGCAGCTGGACAAATGATCTATGCAAAGTTCATAATACAAGTATTCTAGCACTAGGAGAAAGCAAAAATAAGTGTAGGTAAACCATATGTATTACGCAAGTTCAGCTAATCCCAATTAATCCCAGTAAGTAAAGAAGTTCAGCCAAGAGGAAAGTTAAGAATAATGCTATAGTCTTGGTTACGTTATTCGTAAGGTAATAACCTGCATACATTACTATAACACGTGGAGTGTGTAAGTGGATATATTTAAAGCATAGTAAAGTAAACCCATAAAAAGGGCAACGGAATTAACTAACCACCCAAAGTGGTCGCGAAGCATGATCTTCCTTAAGAATCATCTGCGACCGATAGTCCTTTGCCCCGTACTCGTCATCGACCGCTTTCTCCTGGAGTTTCCTGCTGGCTGCGTCAGGAACGCCTGAAATTTATTTCGGCCAAGACTGGTCAAAGTCATGATGCACCCTCTTCTGATCTACGAAAACCTTTCGATGAAGAATGAAGATCATAGGACAAGGGAATCAAGTAACACCATTAATTATGATAACCAGATTGCACCTAGAAACGCTGAAAATTAGTATAGCCTGCTGAAACGATAGGCGATCTATGATAATAATCATAATACTTCATTTATTATTTAAAGGAACAAATTGTAGTGATAAGCTCAATTTAGGCGTTTGTAGAATAAAACAAGTTCGTTCGAGTTGGCCAAGGAATAACGTATTGAGCGTACATTAGTGTTAAAACATGGATTAATCAAAGACTAAAACTGAATCAAGTTAACGATAAGAATGCATGTAAGTACTTCATGCTTAACTCTGTCTTTTCGCGATAATATGTATTACATTCAACATAGCGACATGTTACGGAAAAAGCTACTTGTTTTCCATACACTGTATATAGTTACTTGCTATACTGCCGTGAATGGGATCGAATTGAGCAATAAAGCCAATGCCGCACCACCATTGCCCCTCGCTACTCGATCGTCAAGTCTAAATAGGTTCTGTACAAAATCCACAGGTAGGTATAAACAACTTCTTTAAATAAATTTGCCGTTTTTTTCAAATACCACCGTTAACGAGTATTTGAGGGCATATGAGAACTATCGTATGAAATAGACCATCTGATGGCTATACTGAATGTGTCACGCTTTCAAAGTGTCCACGAAAGTGAGTAGCATCGAAAATAGAATCAACTTCAAAACTGACAAACTTCACCCTGTTTAGAGAGAGAATATGATGGAAGAAAAATTTCGTAAAATATATACAGACTTTTCTAATGTGAAATCCTATTTCTTTTCGACTTCGTGGAAGTTTGATTTCAACATGAGGAGAACATACCTTCAAGCGAAAAATTATCGCCTTCTTCGTCACCGTCAGGCTGTCCACCGCTGGCGGTATTTTGCGCTCCTCGACGAAATTTATTGTAGCCACCGCCACTGGCATTGCCTCGGTTCCCATAATCTGCGAAAATACGCTTGGTCTGTGATTGCCATATTAGTAAAATCACTCACACAAATAAGAAATTTATAAATTACAAAGAATATAAAATGATGTTCTAATAAATTAAGATTATCATATACACACGAAAATATGTTTTAAGGATATAGGTAATTCTCTAAGAACCTTACGCTTAAAACAATTTGCTTAGTTTACAATGAAACTAACATATAATTTCACTCATAAGTAACTTAAATATTGATACCGATTTGTTTATGTTATAAAACTATCGATTCTTATCTTAACTTAGGGAAAAATCAGTAGCCTACAGAAAGCGATATAGCCGAGAATCTTACAGTGTGTACATCTTAATTAGTGTTATCATTATTCTTATTACTGCTATTAACGCTTCTGTTATCGTATTATCTGGTCCAGAAGGACGATACGTAATTTGTGAGCAGTGGTGTAAAACGTACGGTAAATTTCGTAGCAAAACAGATATTATAATAGTAGATTTGTCTATATCAATGAAAAAAAGTTCTCTTTGTATTTTTATGCCCTTGTTTAATAGATAAATCCACATTTTACTTTCATGACTTCCAAGTCGCATAATGCTTGCTTTTTTTGTTTTAAATAAATTCCTTCTATCTTGAGCTTATATATTTCGATTTACAAGTAAGGGCTGTGAACTGAGTACCACAAATTATCTGCATGAAGGTGAAAACCAGCACTCGGATTTATGTCAATTCATAAAGTTTACGAACTCCTCAACGGATGACCTCTGCACAGAAAAATACAGACTATTTCGTACTTCACTCATTTGCCTTTCTCTCTAATTAACGAAGAGATCAAGGTTCTTTTTTCACGCAGATTGTGCACGTTGTCCTGTTCTTAGCAGAACGGTACGATTTCATTGTGAAGCAAACGAACTTTGCGCGATTATTCCCGCGCTGGCAGATACACACAGCATACTTGAGGACTAATAGCAGTTAGAATCGGTGCTTGCGATAATCTACCCCCAACTGTCAAGAATAATATTGTTATTTTTGTTTAAAAGTAAATATTTGCACCGAAGTTGGTTTTTAAATATCTGTGATGCCGTCGTATAATAACAATCGTCTATCCACTACGCTGACTGTTGACACTGAGAAATAACAATTGTAAACTAATGGCATAAGTTGATAATGTAGATTGATTCTTCACACACACTGTGTGTATTTAGAGATTCACTGCTTCTTACAAACCTTTTTTCCCTTTATAATAACTCATTTCATTTAAAATGCTATCCTTTTTCACGCCACGACAACAATTAGGAGCACACTTTGCATTGGTCAACTTAGAAAAGAATGACTACTCTCGCTCCACAACAATTTTGCTTTAATCGATTCATTTTATCTCGCTGTGTCCCGCATTCAGTTAGCACATAAACAACAGCTGGAAGGAGTTGATGGCAAGCGTACACGGGACTGACTGATTGGGCGGTGGGTGCTGCCACACAACACCAGCCGCAGAAACAGCAACGATCAGCTGTTGTTTTTTTTAGTTCCATCGAATTCTTTGGTGTTTATCAACCCCAGTTCTGCGAGGGTAGGTTTGCCGCCGATCACACCTGATGGTTTTATCACGTAGTTTACGCAGTTGATCAATGAATAATGTGATACAGTGTTGTTCTTAAGAATGACGCCTGAGTAACTATGATTTCCTTCCGGGCGATTCGAGGTTGAACAAGTGGTGCGTACGAACCGAGGATTTCTTCCACTTAAAATGCTCCATATGGCAAAGATTTAGTCAAAAATGGAAGCCAAACCACTTGTAACCTGTAAGTCATGATACTTTGATAGGTATTTCTCATTTCTTTATGTTTATAGATATTTCTTCAAAGGAGATGCCCTTATCTTGTTTATATTTAGGACTTATTAGTGGTTTTTTTTTATAGTTGCCAGCTACCGACATGAAAAGATCCATTGCAATTAAAATGTAATTAAGACTTGATCGCATTGAACGTCATTCTTCGTCAAATATAACTAATGTGATAGAAACAAACAATTTCATTATCCATGAACCGCCAATGCAGTTTTCTTTTGTATTCTAAACTGTGTCTCTATTTATGTGACATATAGACATATGATCGTGCTAGTAATAGCGCTAAATCCAAATTAGCTGCACTTTGGTCAGTTTCAGTTCACATTTATGGATGAATCGGTTGATGATATTCCATGAGTTTTTTAACTGAATATTGTAAATTTGTTGTTGCATATGCATATTTAGGGCTTCATAGGCTCACCGAAGTTCTTCGTGGCACGTCTTTAAAAGGACATATGCAACGAACTATTTTTCGGATGAAAGGTGTCGCGTCATTCTGATGCTTTGATTACCTAAACCTTCCCCATAAATTACATACGTGTAAACGACCTCTAAGAATTTTACTAATTCTTAGTGAGGTGATATTTGTTTTATCGATCTCGATTGTATCCCATGTGTATCTTGCAGATACGGGTAACTGTGCACTGTTTGAAGATCTACGTGGTTCAGTTTGCCCAGCAGTGGCAGCGGAGGCTACCGAGTGGCGTCGAAGTCTTGGACGTCACCGAATGGTTCATATTGACGCGAACTGGATCGAGTTCGACAGGGATCGGTTGAGCGCCAATAGGGAGACTCTCCTTAATCGACAGTATCTTCATACCTTCTGGACTGACTGCTCCGTAAGATTACTATTGTCAGAACAGTATTCTTCGTTGTTATTGCCAGAGCAGTACTCCTCTTTGAATTGATCATCATTGACAGGGAAATTAGCTTTTCAATGCGATAGAACACGATATAATCGCTTTTTCTTTTAAAGTTCGAACATGCTGACTTAATGACGTGTGAAACTTTCATAGTAAGAACCACTACCACTGTGAATAAGTAAGTCAACCTTCCGTCCAGGACCTATAGGCTTGAGACGGGCAATAATTGCGTTGTTTACTAAAGTCCTATGAAGTGTAGAGCGCCAAATGCACAAAAAAGTTCCACCCTTTCTACAAAGTATTTGTATTTGTTAGCTTCTATGTTTATACCATAACTTTTAAAGACAGAGTTGTCATTAAGAAGTGTCACGGTATTTCTGGCTCTCTAGGATTCTGATGAATACAAGAACACTGTCAAGCAGGAAATACTCCTTTGGATGCAGGAACTAAAGGCAAAGTCTCAGTGGGACTGGTTAATTGTGGTTGTCGAGGATAACGCCCGTAAAACACCTGCAAAAACAACCTCGAAATTGCTCAAGAGCACTGTCTGGGACCGCATACGAAACGACTTCCCCAGTAAAAATATAGATAGGTGCTTAATTTATTTTCCTCTGCCTCTTTGCTAAATTCACCAGTACTTGAATGAGCAATTTTGTGCTTTCCATTTTTAAAGAGCTGGTTAATCGATGATTCTTTGTCAAGATACTTGATTTAAATAGTTCAGTTTGTTTAAGTTGGTAATAGTTTGCAATTAAGAAATTGTAATAGCCGGATTCTGCCCATTAAAGGTTATTTATCCATTTGAAATTCATCGCTTTTTTTCTATTATAGGGTCTGTACGTTTGTACGCCCCTCGAGGGGAGAGTTGGGTAGTCGTAACGCGTCCTTAGACACTTTCCTAGGTCAATTCCGTACAGCGCTCCTGCACGGCCTTAATAGAGAAATCGGCTACTACGAAGACAAACTGCGTGAAAAAAGAGAAGCACGAAATAACCCAGGATGGAGTTTCATCGATTTTTATTTTATGCAGGTACGAAATGAATGATTTTTTAGCTTTATTTCTTATCATGCGCAATAACTTTCACTTCGATATAGTTTGCAATAATTAATTGTAATACAAGAGTGTAAGAACAAACTGCTAATTTCCTAGCAAAAGAACAAACTAGTAATTCCAATCGGCCACGTCGAAGCTCGGCACAGTTTTTGCAGCCACCTAAAATATCGTAAGGACCCCATGACCCTATCGGTTGTGATCAATAGTGAATTAAAATATGCTTTAATTTATAATGAATAAACGACGCGCAACTGTTTTGAAATGATAAGAATAATACTACTAGAAGTTTATCAGGAGAGTAACTGGGTTGAAGCCAATGTTAGATGCTTTTTTTTTTCTTAACCCAGAAAGTCGTTATAGTGATGAGGCCTGACGTTGTCATCAAGTAACCAGACTGCATGCTTTCGGTTGCCACAACAACGGTCCATACATCTCTTTAGGTGCTCGAGATAGCGAGCTGCTTCATTTTCGACAAGTATCTCATAGTAGGACGTGGCCCTGATGTCCGTTGCAAGTACCACTATCACCTTACGTCCGATCCTGCTCGACAGTGCCATCGTCTCGATTCCTCTCCAGAACAACGCCGCTTACTTGCCTGGGGTCTCTTCGGTCGGCGGTAGATATTGAACCATGCTTGGTCTACGGCGACTGTATGCTCCAGGCGGGTTTTGTTAATTGAAGTTGCGCAAATTGCACGTGGAATACACTACAGGCGGTTTCCACTAGCCTGGAGTGAATTTATGGAGATTTATTTTTTACTTAGTTTCCGCATTTTCATCATTTGGGTTATGATTCTGTAACACATTACATGTGAGGTACCAGTTTTGGCCGACGCAGCCCTTACACCCCCAGCTCTGCGTCCGTAAAAGCCCTCCTCGATTGTAGCAATGTGTTTTCGTCTTTTAAGTCTTAATATCTGACCACCTTTTTTCTGGCCTGCGGAACTCCATTCGCCATTTCTCAAACGTCTGCATTTTTTAGGTACTGTGCTTTCACTTAAGGCCTACCGTCTTCACCTATCTTCGATAAATATCCGCAGCGCTGTGGCTTTCGATGAACAAAAACCTAACTACTGGATGTTGATTTTCGAGACCAAAAAGTTCTTTTCCATCTCAACTCGTTTTTGCTTGGGTAATCTCAACCCGCTTTGATCACAAGTGTCCAAAAGACTGGAGAATTTGTCACCCAAATTTTATGCGCCCGCGGCGCGTAATTTAGAAGTTATTCAATTTCAAAGTTCGCCAGGTTCCCTTGAAAAAGCCTAACTATATATATATATATATATAACTAAAGTCGTCTGTAACATCGTATAAACAGTCGAGAATGTTATTACTTCATACAAACAGATAATCACAAGGTGGTTTTAGATAGGTAGGAAGATTGTATGCTCAATTTCATTGGCTAAATATAGAGAACTTTTTTAAGACATTTCGAGCGAGCATGACATCATCTCATTCGTGTTTATTTTGGGGCAAAGAGTCACATGTAAAAGAAGATTTTCTTTGAAGCGCAGCTTACTGTTTGTTGATATATCCATAATCTCGCGTAACACAGACGTGGACAGAATAAGTAAAACGATGTATGTTCGTGTTTAATAGGTCACATGAAGACAATAGTGTGCCAGGACATTTTAGTTCCGTGTATTAGTCCGCAGTATAAGAAACGAGCAAAAGTAAAAATAGTTAATTGCCGTTCAGTTACCCAGGCATCGATTATCTATGTTGCTACGTTTTTTCGTGCATCCTTATCTGTTTTCTTATATTCGAGAGGATTTCTACTCGAAAGTCAAATTGACTCAGAGCAATAACAAATAATTTGAAGAATATTTGGATTGAATATACCTATGCGAACTCACAGGTAGATTTTAGCTATTTGTGTGCTGCAAAAGTTTTGAAACTAGGATTAACAATTAGCTCGCTGAAAGTCTACCTTTTCGGGATAAAATGACTGTGCATATTTACTCTTTGACCCAATAAAGATAAACTAAATTGAAATTGAACAGACCTTCAACTCATTATTTTTTTGTACAGGAACAACTAGCGTTTGTCTTTGAAACCATGACTCTTTATGAGGATGCGCTTGTCCAGTACGATGAGCTGGATGCTTTATTAACCCAATTTGTAATCAACGCCGCCCAGGGAGAGGCTCCCCCTTGGCTGCAAACGCTGACCGATTGTCGCAGTTCCTGGAGAGCCCTTTGTATGAAATCACAAAACTCCTCGCAGGCGTCTTCTAACTCTACGTTATCAAATGATCGACAACTAGAGCAGGAAAATGTTAGTATTCAGTTTAGCGAAGGAAACGGTAGCCTTCTTGATCTTCGGAACCTGCTATTTCTTCGGATTTGCAATATACTCATTCTACTCTGTCGGTAAGCCAAATAAGATCTGCCAGGTGAGCTACGAACATATGTACCATAGGTCAAACTACGCTAATCGTATTCACGTTTTTTTTTTCAATATTCATACAAGCTGATGTTTTTGTAGTTCCGATAAAAACTCATATACAGATATTCAAGCGTTCAAAATCGTGGTGTTTTTAGACTTTGACCCTTCACGCCAATTAGAAACCAACGAGATACAATACGGAAATTGCAACAAGCAACGCAGTTATTTTTATGATAACACTAATTTTACTGTTCACGCATTGATGTTTCAGCCCGTGGGAGATGGCTCGACGTGCATTGCCATATATACAAAATGCTCAGGTCGAATTAAAGTCATTAGGCGTCGAACTTAACTGTGTGGGCGCAGTTGATGCTTGGGCGTTAGCCGGCTTTCTTGAAACACTAGTTGTTTCTGAACGATACAATGACTCAACACAGGTACATAGCGCAGGCAAAGACCCGCACAGGACGATCGCTTCAGGAAATTAGTAAAATTATTGAGGAGGCACTTCACAATACAGCGCTGTACTTAGGCCAGCTTACACGTATTAGTTTGCGCTGTCGGAAAATTATAGAACGGAATGTAATGAATAGATAATATTTAATATCCAGTTAAGGATCTTTCCATAACACTTCAGGTGGAAAGCTACTCACTACACACGGCACAGTTATGGGCTCATGCGCGCCTGAAAATGAAATCACTCGGAGTATTATGTGGCCTCATGCCTCGGGATTCTCCCACCTCTGAACAAATTCATCTGGTTGTAAACATCCTTGCGGGTCTTGGCGACGACCCGAGAGCTGGTGCGTTACCTATACTTTATTTTCTAAAAACTGGTACGAATATCCGCCACGATCATAAAATATGAAGTCCTACTGATACTCTTGTTTTTTTCTACGGAAACTCTTGGTTGAATAACTAGAGTGTGTTGACAAGGTAACAATATGATGAATGAGCTTAATGAGTCAAAGTTTGAATTTTTACGAGATGAAAATTGGGAACAAAGGGAAGGAATTATATCTATACTGTTTGCGGAATACAAAGTAAAAGCAAAAACTAATTATCGCTTCAATTATTTGACGCCAGCTGAGTCTTAAGGACTAGTCATAAACTGTTTCAGAAGTATCTAATATATGTATCGGATAAGCAGAAAGCAAGTAGCTAATTTAGTACCCTAAGGACAAGATCAGTCTTTATAATAATAATAATCATCAAATAATACAACGAGTGTAGAATAATATTGAGACTGCGTCTTGTGTTTTCATGGTGGTGTAAAGCATTTTTATTACCTCAGGTAAGGACCTTACCCCCATCGCTTGAAGACGCCTGACACATGGGTAATTTAAGAATCACGATAACGGCATGTATCACGGGCGAAGCTGCTAGTATATTACAACAAACCAGTTCCGTTTGTAGTTAAAAAAATTATTCTGGACCTATAGTGTGTTTTGTACTTATAGGAACTTCTCTGTAATAAAAAGCCTTGGCAACTTTTCGAACAAGCTCTTTGGTGGTAATATGTATGTATACGTAGGGTTAAATTATGAGTGCTTCTGATTATCGAAGCTGTTTTTCTCTAACGATATCGAGATCTCTGAGATAGCTTTTGAGGGTAATTTTAATGGTTATCGATACTTTAACTAAGCAGACTGTTTAGAAACAACCAGGATGTAAATGAAACGTGTCCCCCTGTTATTGCGTAATTTTCAGGCGAGTCGGAACTGAGTCCATGTCGCCGTATCTCCGAAGCCCTCTCGTCCAAGGAGTCCTTTATGCGACACTACAAAGACGTTTGTGAAATCGCCATGGGCACCTTTAAACACGTGGGAAGGCTCCGAAGTGCGCGACTCATCGGGAAGGATCTAGCAGAATTTTACCTGTAAGTTCTACGGCTTTCGGTGCCGGCTGTTTTGTGACGAGCGGGGCAGAATATGCTAGCTACAATGAGGAGGCTGTGCTTATTGTAAGAACATTAACATAATTTTTTGCTTTTTTTTGCTTAATTAATGTAATCTGTGTAAATCCGCATGGCAAACAAATGATATTTGTAACAACGTGGTAGCCATTTAAATTAAGTATTAATAAAGAAATTAGATTTTTCGGTGTATATCTATATTACGGTCACAGGAATTGGTATGTTACAGCTGGGAGCTAATTTATGCCTTGCACGTGTTATAGTTGCGCCGCTGTCATAACGAAAGAGTTATAAAATTGTGCGATTACTTATTTTATTATTTATTTTTGATTGCATATAACAATGCTTAAACTTAAAAACGACACTTATTTTCGTGAACTAAAAAAAAAAAAAAAAGCCTCTAGGATCCCAATTTTATCATACTTTAGATACCGTACCCCAGATCTCTAAAAACGATATGTTTATGTACTCAACCTGCAGTGATAAGGACGAACCCCAAATGGCCGTGCAGTTCCTACAAGATCTCCTGAAAATGTACCTGACGGAGCGCTGGGGTCCGTTGGCTGTACTGACTCAGAAGCAATTGTTGCAGTGCTATCAACTTCTGTCATACGATCTCCTTTATTTGCACACTGTCTTAATGCTTGCAACCAATCGCTCTTTGGACCAACGGGAGCGCCGACATTTCTTCGATGATGTGCTAGCTACCAAAGACCGATTAGGCAAAAGTATGAAAAGTACGTATTCGTCGTCACCACATATTAGATAATGAACTAAATAATGTTACATGATGTGGTGTTATCCATACTATTAAGAGGTAAAGATTGTCCTTCTGTTCATTGGCGAACGGCGTTTTGTCTGTTGAATATATATGCATCGGTTTATCCTCTTTCAGATAACAAAAACCTGACGTTTGCTTTTGCGGGTATTCTAAGCCTTGATGATCTGAGAATAGATAGCGATTCATCGGTCTTAACACTGAACTCCGACATTCGCCTTAAGCTCACTATTACGTCGCATTTGCTCGCCGAAGTTAAGATGAGAAAAGTTATTGTTCCCTGCGAGAAACTTGAGGAGGTTAGTGCTAATCTGTTGTTATTGCTTTCTAGTATTCGTTGATCTGCAGTAAGTTCACTACGCAATAACAACACTCCCGACCTAACAGAAGATAGGAAGATTATCACTGGGTAAACTTTTCGAATGTAATTGTGGAATTGAGATAATAATATCTCTGTTTCGAATTTTAATAGCAAAATTCCAAAAATAGTTTTGAAAAATGAAATTCAGCTGTGGCTGGGGAACAAATTAGGAACCTTGCAGTTTCCGAGATCCTCGAGTGTTTCCTGTATCAACATTGATTCTTTACACACCCTTTTGTTTCCAAGTAAGCTACCCTTTAATAGGTGACTAAGAAATCATAGAAGTATGGTAATTTTTCTAAAAATATTTAGCTGCATTGTAAGACTATAGCGTGCCCTAAGAGACTACAGCATAGTGATGGCCACAGTAAAAGATATTGTAGACGACCAGCGAAGAAATACTTTCTGCCGAAGGTTGAGTTCTATATATCTAAATTAAACTTCCACTCATTTTATACTCAGCCGATAATCGTAAACTAACTTTGAAAAATACAAAGAGCACAACATAAATATTAATAAAAAATACGCGTTTTTACCCATTAGGAGGGCCAAATTGGTGGAACTCCGCGTAAAGGTTCGATGATCCTTGCACCTGGTGGAAAGCGGCCTCCGCCTAAAATCAGTGTGCAGCAGGGTACCCAGACTAACTCCATCCGTAAGTAACAATGCAATTGAAAACCAGAGATTTTTTAACTATTTTTTGCGACACATATTGTTGTTAAAGTATGTTGTGTGGGTGAGCTTTTATCATCTGTATTTAGCAGTATATCAACATCTCCGGTATCTTAACCGCGATATACCACGACTATATAAAAACTAAATGTGAACACGGATTTTCGCTAGAAAAAGCATGCAAAAAATTTGCTTAAAACAAACCCGGGCTCATACTTCGCAGACTTTTTTTTTTAATTAAATGTCTTTAAAGTTAACTGTATCTTAAAACTGTGTAACTCCGAAGGAATGATGTTCTTTCGTGTTGAAGTTCGTATATTCGCTTCTAATAGAATGATAATTACCGCCCAAAACGCCTTCATCGTGGCATTTAAAACGCCATTTTTTTTAATCTAGTTGCGTTAGATGACCTTGAAAAATGAATATTTCACTGTAGGAGCATATATTCGCTTTAACGATATGAAAGCAGACCTAAAGTTGTTTTTTCGTATTTTGGTCGAAGTTTTGGTGTGTTCAAACCAGCATCAGGTTTTGTCCCGGCAGGACAGCTCCAATCTTGGCTCGCCATCATCACAAGATATAGTTCGTGTTAAATCTGACACCCAGTTTGTGGCCAAAGATGTCTATCTTGCCCCTGGACAGAATGTGATCGGGTTAGCATTCCGCACAAATCAGTGGGGCAGTTATGAGATGCGTCAACTGGTCATGGAGTGGGATCACTTAGGACTTGTTGAGGATTTGGAGAACAGTATTCATCACAACACTCGAGTAAACATCATTCAGGAAAAATGCCGACTTAGCTTTGAGGTATGATAGTTTTTATGAGTAATAATCATCATCACTTATGCACAACGTGTTAATATATATATTATGCTACTAGCAGGTTATCGCTTATCGCCACTACTTAGAGGCCAGTTCCTTGGGTATCTATTTCTTTTCTTCATTATAAGTGAATTTTGTTTTTATGCTTATTGTGTATTTTAATGTATTTGATTGATTTCAGTTGCCGAGTGAGGAATTGCTAGCCGGCGTAGCCCAGTCTGTGCGACTGTCAGTTAGTGCTGGCAGCCGTTCTGTGGCAGCCGGCTCAATTGTGGCCTTAAAGTCGTCACCAGGTCTACACTTCGACAAAGATTTACTAGTCATTCCCAATGAGATCGCAGCCTTTGAGTTTCGATCATTTTCCGTTGGATTAAGGAGTAGCTTTTGTGACCAATGGACATCAAAAGGAGTCGTCCACGAGGTCGTTGCGACCGCAGGTTGGGAGGATGGCCAAGACGGACATGGGAATCGATCTGAAGCGCAGGCCGCTCAAGTTCGAATCAAGTTGCTCTTTATGCCACCTTTTGTCGTGACACATAAACTGCTAACGTGTGACACGGCAAAATTTATTCAGGTGCGTTCATATCTCACAAGCATACGGACGAAAAGATATTCTGCACAACGCTGCAAATATCGTGGCTGGTTTGCCAACAACATTACGTAGATGTGCTGCATAAAGAAGATTTAACTCCACTATAGACCCGTAAACTTCATCTTGCAATTTCAGGTGGAAGTGACTGGACGTTCTTTACAGTTTTTTGCTGTTAGTAATCCGAGACTTGACTGCCCATCAGGATTCGCTGCTCAAATCCTAGAGGAGGTAAATATATCTTTAGCAATACAACTGTAGCCTCGAAGATGGGTGTATCCTATCAAATTCTGCTAAAATTATACTACCAGCATATCCGTGTAGGTAAATAATTAAAATGGATTCACTTTTTTGTAGGTGGGTACGTTTAAGGTGAACTCTCGCTACCCTACGGCGTTCGTTTGGCAGTTGGAGTCGCCCGAACTGGTGGAGATGCCCCTGGAGTTGAAATTTGCTCTCGATTTTTACTGGGAAGCTGGTAACCAGAGCGGATTTTATTCCGCTTCTTTCAAGCTTGAAGCTTTTAAGGTACGTTGGGTGCTCCAGGGTACGACAGACGTCTCCTTTGATTGATTTCTATCCAAATCAAAAAAACTATCAAAATGCCATACTAGATATAAAACTAGCGCTTACGAATGTTACATTTATCGTCCACTTTGCTTTTCATCAAGGTTTCCTTTGATTTTCGTTAACTTCGTCGCGTTTTTTCTATATTTTTATTCTCACTCGGTTCTATAGACCCTCTATTCGGTACACGCAACAGTAGACCCCGAATCGCAGGGACATTGCAAGGTAGATGTATTATGCAAACTGAACATTCGCGTTCAACGAATTCCATTATCGGTTAAGGAAAGTAAATCTGAACAGGATCCGATCCATCTGTCGATGGAAATTATTGCTGATTCAGCCCTTTGGGCATTGCAGGTATGTTCTATTATCTACACGATATAAGTATTATTTAATGTTTTCGTTATATCTAATTCCAACTGTGCTTTGAACCCGCATCGAACCGCCATCGAGCGGGCAACTGTTTAAAATTATCATATTTCCATTGCTATTCTTAACTGTCTGAGCTACACAGCTCAATGAAGTCCAAAAGGAATGTTCCTTGCAAGTCTGGTAATAAAAAAATGCTTGCCCCATAAAAATAAGTTGACGACTGTGAAGATGTGTTTTTATGGATTTATATATTACTAAATTTTTCCAATTGCGATCCTACAGGGCCGCAACTCAGATACCTTCATTCTATCTGACCAGGAGTTTACATCGAGCGTCGAAATGAAGCCCCTGGTTCGAGGGTATCTTCCAATTCCTCAAGTTCGTCTTTCAAAGTACCATCCTCCGTGCAAAGAAGACATGAATAAAGGTCAGTTTTATAAATGATATTCAACGAGTTTAAGAAGTAGATGCTTGTTCTAGATTACAAGGTTGGAAAATTTGAAAATGTGGTTTTATGACAACATGAAAAAGGTAAGGTAAATACGACTTCTTTCAGTAAAATAAATTACTAAATAACAATAATCAAATTTGGTAGTTTATTTGTATTTAGAAAAGCACGATTGTATTGTATGAGTCCAAGACGTTAAAATTGAAAATTTTTAGTTTGGTCTACCCGATCGAAGAAGCTGGCTACTTCTACTACTGCAGTAATGACGCCGCGTAATACCTCTGGCATAGTGCACTGCTTATCGCATATTGTACAGGTATACGTTGCGCCCGACAAAATCCACTATCCCATATGTAGTAAGATGAAGCCATTGTACTTCAAAACATGTAACGATGTGTTGGTTTATTTTGTCCAACCCCTATCCAAGCTTCACTAATCATGGCTCCCGTGTTATAAGAATCAAGTTCAATCCATCTTTTCCGTCCATGTGTGGATGAAATTCGGATTAGCAAGGGTGATAATGAACTTCCAGATTTTCTCCAAATAAGAGTTAGTCGTCACGTATCTGTATAAAGATGAACGATGCAAATCCATGACGCTCCTTAAAAGAGAAAGTTTCATTTGGCTAAGGTTTCGAATTGCTTCGATGAGAGGTGTTCGTAGACAGCTTGAATTTCGTAGAAAGCAACCGGGGCTATCTTTCTCTAGTGCAAAGCCCGCGCCGTGCGCAAGGAACATTTTGAGGGTGTGCGTATTGCTGGGCATGAAACCCATTTTCTCCAAAACAAAAGCAATGATTTCACTTCTTCCGCGGGATCTTGATTGCGATCATTTAGCGGTAAAGAAAATGTCAGACGGCTTATGTTATCATTCTATGCAACGCCAGTTGATTGGACAAATGGCTCTAACTGGGCCACTCGGTCACCTGTGCTTACCGAGTTCCTGCGAAGAGCACCTTTTTGGTTCGAGACAGACACGATGTACTACCTAAAGTTCTATATCACATGTCGTGAAAGTGAAATGTCCTGCATGAAATGCTGCCCAAGCGGAATACATAAACAAACTTGAAACCTTATTAGTCGATGTGTCAATGGATGAGTTAGAAGCTTTTAGCAAAACTTCGCAAACGAGGGTTGAGCGGGGTGCCTTTTTTCTTGTGTGTGACGCTGAAAAAGGCATCATTCCAGTTTGTTGGTGGGGCCCATATCGTCAGCAGGCATTTCTTGACGACTTACAGATGTACATGTCAGACCTATATACATATACATACCCAGGATCATACCAGATCCTATGGGATTCGTAATGCTGTGTGAAAAAATGTTTCACTAACGATCTCATATTATGTTAATATATATATTCGTCACACATGGAAGGTTTCCTAGAGACCGCGCTACATCATATCTATCACAAGGTTGCCCACATTTTGCGCAAAGGTAGTTCTCCATTGGTTTGTGAAGGCCCAAAGTAGCACACACCATATAACAATGGACGGGAAATTGTGTGACGACGTGGTGGACGATTTAGATCCCTCATTGTTCTAGTACTAAAACCAATTTTCGTGAATTTCTGTTCTCAGCTGCCGAAAGTTTTAGCGAAGGCAGGAGTGCAAGTATGGAAGCGTATTCTACGTTTTTCACTATAGAAAATGGTGTGTCGGCAAGTCTATTTTGTACTGTTTCAAGAATAACTCCCTCAGACGATTTAGCTGCTTGATGTTCTCTATAATCAAATCCTGCCATGTTACGTCGACGCCATATGCTGCTAGTGGAACGGCTTTAAAATCGAAGAAAAGTACAGTAACTGAAATGGACGGCCATTGCGGATTCTTTATGATTGCTGACGTAGTCGGTGCTTTCTCTCGTCTATTATGCTATGTGAAGCTGCGATATTAGCAGCTTCAAATGCGGGAACTTGTTGACAAATTTCTGGGACGTTCCTGATATGACTAGTGTATATCAAAAGATAGCATCCTGTTTCCCCGTTTAAATTTTATCGCTTTCATCTTTGTGAGGCTTACCTTTAAACCGAGTTCCATGGCGGTTGTATGCAGTTCAGCAAGGATTTGATGCATCTGAAACTTGCTATACTCAGGCACGACTAGTTCGTCTGCATATAGGAGTACTTTCACAAAGTTTTTGCTCACATATATATTCCTAGGCATTTTCCGAAGCAGCAAGAAAGAGCACTTCGACTGTGTTCCCTGAATTTTCTCAAGATGTCGCTGCCGTCAAATCGAGCACGTTTGTGGTGACCCTTGCTATTGTGGAAGTTGTTAATACTGCATCCCTAAGCCATCTCCACAAATACAACCGTGAATATATGGGGGATCTCCAAGGATTCATGGACATCCGCCAGGAGAATTTTACATGCTGTGGCCGTTGAGTGCCCCTTTATAAATCTATGTCGCTTTTGGGGAATCACGCCCGTACTTTTTAGAAACTTGTTTAGCCATCGTGCCAAGAGCCAGAACAGGAGCTTATAGCACACGCTCTTGTTCGGTGCCACACTACCGCGCAAGCTGGATTAGGTCGCTTCTCCTTTAGAAATAATCAGTAAAGTGCCGACTCTTCATTGGAATGACAGCCTTGCCAAGAGGAAACTATTGTTGAGTAACACTGTTTAGCAGGGCTGCAGAACGAGCGCGCTTTTCGTTTTGTATATTGTCCGAGCTAACAGCCTTGATGGAACACCAGTTTTCCAGCGCTTGTACTAGTTCGAAGCCTAAAAACTGTTGTTCTAAAATGCGTTCTTTCTTGCTGTTGTCTTATCCTCCGTTATCATAAGTACATCTGTTCGTCGAGGGATAGTGCAATTTATAGAGAACGTTTTAGCAGCAGCAAGTAGTTAGACAGCACGGGTGCGGTAGTAGAATGAGATCTAGTCAGTACTATGCTCAGTTAGACTTGTTGAGGGCACGCTGTACCTCAAACACTAAGAGCTCAGATTTCGGCTCCTCGCGCATCGTGGAGGTTCGATTTTTTTACGTACCAGCGTACAGACCCAGGATTTGTGAAATGGAATTCGCCACTTCGATCAAGGTTTTGATGCGAGAATCAATATCCGGACCTCTTAGTGCAGGAAATAGGGTTGCCAATTTTGGATCCAGTTTAGTGGGATATAGCATTCTAGAATAACCAGTGTTTCTTCTTTGCGAAGTTGTTTTTTGCTGGAGAAGCAGCTCGACCCTAACCAATACATGCCATCTTAAAGCGCTTCCCTCGCTTAAAAAATCGTTTCTTTCAATACCCCGGCTTTTTTTTCTATTCAAATTGGATGCGAATATACTGAATATGTGTGGAGACGAATAATATATCGCTGAGATATTATCATCTATCGTGGTGCAGTCAGTGGAAGGACCGTAGTACGACAATGGAAGTGATCTTGTTGGCCAGTATCATTGTGGTCATTGGAATCATTGTAATCAGAGAACGAACGCAAGAGAACTGATGACGTAAAATCCGCTGTCCCTTAGTAATAATCAATCATTTTTTTGCAAACGTCCCACTTGTTTGTCAATGGTCACGCAGCACTGATACCCCTGCACTATTGTAGCCTCTTTCAGCTCTTAGATTTCGGGGAATGGGCGGCGTAGAGATCCGGCCGATCGAAGGGCTTTGACCCCCAAATCTTCGTAAGTGCGGCGACATTCATGTCGGTAAAGGCAAATGGTGGTAACAGCAATAAAACAAGAGTTGCGCCCTCTGCATCTTCACTACACAACAAGTGCTTTGTCATGCCTGTCTGTCTAGTCCGAGTGCGCTATGCTTAAGGCCTAGAGTTGCCTTTCTTGAAGTTTCCGATGGAGCGCTTGTGCCGTTTAATTTTAAGTGAGAGAAGTCACGTCGTAAAATGCACCACTTTTAGAGAAAAAACCTTAGCATGTACGTTGGCCCTTTCTATATACTGCAGTGCACCAAAAGCCTATAGAATTAAAAACAGGAACGCGGGTTTAACGTTTGAATACATTTTGAAGGTATTGGTTGAAGCTAAAAAAAATATATTGCAAGAACGAGAAATCTAGACCCGAATCCCCACCTTTTCGTCTTCATCCCATTAGACTCATAAATGTGTACTTCCTAAAATTTTGCCTAGATTGTTAGTCATTCTTCGAAATCAATTTAACCACGAAAAGCTCGAAAGTGATTTATGCAACAAGCTATTTTTGATCGTGCGGTGCCGATATTCTCAATACTTTCCATAGTCTATGTCCTCAAAATATTGTCAAATGTTCAGTTCGGTTGCTTGCTGCAGGTACGATCTTATGAAATGGTTTCCTCCCACCGCAATCGTTACAAATCGATAATTCTAGTAAATCATCCATAATAACTCTTAAAGTATTGCTTTATGTCGATTGGTATTTGATAATATTGCACGAACAACTGCTTACAATGGAATTAGATAGGTGGAAAGCCCATATTTCCAAACACCGCGCTTTGCTAACGCTTAATAAGCGTTAACAAAGTTAATCTTTGGGGTATATGATGCACTTGTTTTTGTTTCAGAATTGGCGAAGGCAACGTTGGAGCCGTTTCTACCTGGACAAGTGTACAACTGGAGTCACGCAGCGCAGGCCCATGTACCTACAGCTGCCCATCCTGATGGCAAATAAATCTGATCACAACTATAGCTTGACATGCGGAGTGGGCCGATGGAAGTCGTGCATATGGATAGAAACTTCACGAAAACACCTCAGTACTCAGAGGCTACTTCAGTTCTAGAATGACAGGTGTCTGATCCGATCCCAGCTTTCGAGGATCACTCGTAGTTAACTGATAATGTAGATAATTAAGCAAGAGATCAGTTGGTCATATTTGTTTTTTGAGACTAGTGTTACTGTAATATAATAAACAATGCTTTGGCCAGCCAAAAACAATGACTAAGAAAAAGCGTGAACCGACCTGTGTTTTTATCATCTGTTCTGTTTTTCGTTTCCCATACTTTTACTCAACAAATGTAATTCGTCGATCTAGAAATTGAGAAATGCCGGATCGCACTTTGAAGACCCTTTCGTTAATTCAAATTTACCGTGAAGAATGAAAGGTCTAGAGATAGCGTATGCTAGATGATAGCCTGCCATTCCACCGGTATTTTTATTTCTTATAGGTTTGGCTTTAACATAAGCAAGTAATTTAATGCAAGGTAGCCATACATAAATTAATTCTTCTTAACTACAGCTTCATTTAACAGCTATCGCAAATGGATAAGTACAACTCTATACAGAGTTGCACAACAGAGTTCCTTTCCTTCCGTAAATTTTAAGTGTTTAACTGCTTTAGTATGTGTTTTGTCTGTAGCGTTAACAACTAACATATCTAATTTTCGCAACCTTTACGCCTAGTTAAATAAAAAAGGAATTGAACGATACAAGCACGTGTATATGGCTACAAAAAATAACAAATAGTCCAATTAAAAATCCTTAAGATATCTCGGATATTATGTGTTTTTAATTTTTGGGAATGTGATACATTTTCTGGGCTAAGAAATTCATAATCGAAAAAAGTATTACTTTTACGTATGCGCTTTGAGGCTAGGTTATTTTCTTAAATATGTGACCCGTACATACTTCGAGATATTTCAAAAAAGGTTATGCCAGAGTGATCGCTGTGCTGATGCAAATCCTATTGTTTCTAAATTTTATGACCTAGATAATTTTTTAGATCCTATAATTTTGTTCGTACATGGAACTAACAACTTCATTGCTCCGCCTAGTCTAAGATCGTCTTTATTGACAGTAATGATGGTACGTTGACTAGGTAATTTTGCCGTTCTCCGAGCTGTTTCCTTTGGCGGCTCACCATATATAATGATGTATATGAGCCCAAGTTATATTGAAACCGGCTACCAAAGTGATGAACAGCTATGCTGTTGTTGTGCGCATGCCGAGGGGACGTTGCGGCCAGTTATGTTATTGTACTAATACTGGAACTGGCCGGGGTATTGTGTGACCCTCAATTTCACATACTGTACTTATGTTACTTTATGCATGTCTAGTTTTAGATAACCGCTCGATTCGTTAATAATGGAAATTATATGACATTTCATATATTGTGAACTATAACTAATATTATGTGATATATGGGTTTATGATTTTTATGTTCTATTGCTAAATCGCCATATGGGTCACGGGTTTTGACTTCGCAACGCTGTTTGACAATGCGAAAATTTTTCTTTTTTATATTGTAGAAATTTCTGTTCTGCTTTGCTTGAGTTCGTCATTATCAGCTAACGTCATTCAAACAGGAATATTGCGTATCCAAGCGTCAAATGCATACAAAATGGACTTGTTTAGCGAAAGCCTTAGGAATATACTTACGAGGACAAGAAACGTCGGCCTACTTTTCGTAAATGTTGTACGATTCTGATAAGTATCGTAGCCGTCACGACCTTATTACAGGGGATTTTCTAGCCGCGAGTCGATACTTTACAGCTAGACTTCCAGGCCCAGTTATTTGCGCTTATTGTGAGCAATTTACTACATCTAAAAAGCAGCCTGGGTTTCAGATGAGGTGAACTTGTTGTCGACCGTCAGTGACAACGCAGTTGGTTTTGACTGCGTAATATTAGACGATTGGAACTGCACTAAATATTAGGATACCAGTTACTATGACCACTACGCTGTCTTTCAAGAAGGGGAAAGTCCTTTTGCGCGAAGCGCCGTATGCTGCCGCGATATGTGAGGTATCTCTTGCCAGCTCTTGTTCTTACTGTTTTAAAGATGCAAATGTAAAAGCGTGCTCAAAGTGCCGGACTATTTCTTACTGTTCGAAGGAGTGCCGTGTAAGTATTCACACTATATTCAGTTTGCAGCAAGTTAATAAGGTTACAGCGTAACTGGAGCAATTCCGACATTAGGGAACTAGCTTTAAAGCTCAAATTAAATGATCAGACTGAAGGCTACATATGGTTCTGGAGATTATTATTACAGTTGCATTACATTTTTAGAGATACCAGACATCTTCGCAGTATCCTAATAGGCTTCCTGAATAGGTTAGTACCTAATCGGTATATATATCGCTGATACTTGCATTACTGAAGGACGCGCTGTACGTTTTTACACAATGAAAAATTACCACAAAAACAAAACAGGACAGATACAAATAAAAGCAGCTTACGCTTTTTGATGGTCAGCCGATGTGTTGTTCGTAACCTCCGCCACACATTTTACAAAACAAAGGAACCACGAAGCTCAGGCATACTGGCTTGATGGGAAGTCCCTTGTGAAATCATTGACATCTGCCCCAGTTATTTCCTACCACCTCTTTATTTGATTCATAGTTAGGTAGTATTAACTATGTTCAATCCGTATACAAGGTGGGACGTTCGAAGTCGGGCGAACCCTGGCTGGCTGCTTCTTATAGCGGGCATGTTTTTCTTGTTACCAGAAAAAAGCATTGGCGTTAATAATGCTTGATGTAATATTAGAGGATAAGTGTGGCACATATTTCGCTCGCGATAGTTTAGAATCTCATAGGCAATGATAAAACCGGTTAATGTCCTAGACGATTGCATATCACTGGGTACCAACAGGTAGTCTCAATTAGAAAGTCTAACTACTAGTTGAAATGACTGACACGTTATGAAAGTTACATGATTAGCTTAACTGGAAAAGTGGACATTCGCCATTAACCGCTTAACTAACACACGTAATTTCAGAAAAAAGATTCAGCAGACCATAAAATCGAATGTATTGCTATTCGAAGAACAGAAGGTCAATCACTGGATACTGAAACCCGCCTTGTAATTCGGGCGATCTCTAAACACCATCGAGAGATACAGCGTGGTGTTCTCTCGGTTGGAGATTGGTTCGGTGTTAAGCGAACCATCATCAATTTAGTTTCCCATATCGATTATCTAGCAAACCAAACGGATTTGTTTCGGGGCACCTCAACCAAAGCTCAAAATATTCTTAAGATAATTGGGGATTTAATCCCATGCTTTCATGAAGAGCTCATTGGAATGATCCAACGCATTCGGCTTAATTCGTACGGTAGCCAAAACGTGGTCGCTGTACATTTAGCTGCATCGAAATTTGATCATTCGTGTCAACCGGAATTACCTATTACTCATGTTTTTGATGGTCGTAAAATTACATTTAGAGCGCTAGAAGATTTCACTTGCGAACGTGACCAGATGCGCATCAGCTACTTACCGCCGTTACTTAGCTATCCCGTTCGCCAAGACCTTCTGATGACACGTTACTATTTTGAATGCGATTGTAATAAGTGCTGGCAGGACTATTATGATGAAGCCAAAGAAGAGTGCGAACCTTCCTTAAGTGAAGAAATAGAAGCGGTTATCGCATTGGAATCATCCTCCGAAATTTTAGAAAAAGGGAAAGAGCTGTTGTCACGAATGGAACATTTGCCTCCGGAGAACTATTGGATGTATCAATTGCGGTGCGCGATGCAATCTGCCGCTTTTACGGAGGAGCAGTACTATGATAGCTTACAGCATGGATACCATGCGTATATGGGAACAGATGTTGCCTCCTATCAGGTAAGCTTAAACGCATACTAGGCATACCTCAGGCGTTGAATTCCCTCGTTTTTTTATTGCTCAAATTTGATTGCACTTTCAGTTAAATTAGATCATTGTCTGGAGTAAATCTGGGCTAAACTCATTCACGTGTTCAATTTCACTTGAGGCACTTTCCAGTGCACATTCAGGCCCTAGTCAATTACTTTCGCTCTTAGAACAAATAAAAAGAATTAATGTCTACAATGCAGACGTTTGCTTTTGCGTCATTCTTATTTGTTCGTTAATTAAGTTCATACATCAGGACTATTCCGTTTCGCAGGCAAAGGTACTCTACACTATGTATCTGGCTCTTCGCGAGTTAGGTTGGAACAATGAAGACCACGAGCATCACAAATACTACCTAGAGTGTCTACGCAAGGGGGGCAGTCTCTTTGAAGTCTGCTTCGGAAAGAAACACCCGATTAGCTCGGAACTACGTAAAGCGCAAAAGATGATCTCTCGTGAATGAAAATCGAACTCATATAGTCCTTAAAGCATGACGACAAGACATGTGTATACCACAATGCGGTGGCGGCGTTAATAATTCGTTAAGACAAACGAATTAGCAAATTTTACACATCCATTATCTTTCCTGCGTCAGAATCATAAATAGAGCAAAACAGGAAACATTGAAAAGGAACCTAAATATATACCTGACTATTTGAAATCATACTAGTCGCAGTTTTTAATCTTATCATTGCATACGAACGATTTTGAACATCTACTAGTAGAACATCTACTAGAATATATCTTTATAAAAATAAAGTGGTTCTGGATGCTATTAAACGAATTGATACGGATAGTCTAAGAAGTGTAGCTAGGACCTAGCAAAGATTTTCCGTTAGATGATATTATATATATATATAATAAATTATTATATATTAAATAAATAAAAAATAAATTTAAAAAAATAAAAAAATAATAATAATAATAAATGTATGCATAAAACTTAATTTAAGTTTTATGCATACATTTTATAAAATTTTTATTACCTTTAACTTCTACATTTTTAATTTATATTATATATATAATATTTTTAAATTTTTTTTAATATATAGTTTTATAGGTAAAATTAACCCTACGCCCCAGAGGAAATTATTGAACGTGGGTTTGTTGATACAATTGACATTGGTAATAAAATTTTTCGTTTACATTTTATTTATTTATTACATCATATGTGGTAACATGCCGCCATAGTTAAAACCTTGGTTGTTTTTCCTACTGATCACTTCGGTATCCTAATTTAATGATATGATTAGAGATATTTGCTCCAGCGTTAAAAATAGCTTATTCTGTCATAAATATTATTGAAATATATAGTATTTCAAAACGAGTGTTATATAAAAACACATATTTAAACATTTGTTTTTTAGAAGGTAACATGCGTTTTAACCATGCGTTAAAGGGAATCACTCTAACAATGAGAGGATCACATACCCAATGAAGAAAGAAATATATAAGTATTTGGAAATAGGAAGCGAAAAAGGATTTCAAAATATCGTAACATGTTAATAATAAGATCCTTCTCAAAGCTGTGAAAATACTAGCTTTAAACATTGTTTCAAACCTCGTTCGTTTAAAGAAATAAAGTGGGTCGACAACGCAGTACGGAATGGTGTTGTTCGATATACATGGACTTGGATGTCTACTTGTTAAATAAACCTAAATCTACGTTATCTGTTTACATTCATAAAGGTAAGAATTTTGACCACGAAGGCTTAATCAAGGGATAAAGAATTTATTTGTTCGCAATGTATTAAAAACAGCTGAGACGGTCAGAAGGGAAAACAGAGGATCAAATTAATTAGGTTCAATATATTTTTAATATAGATATTAAAGAACTCGTTAATGACCTAAGGGAAGCAATGGGCTCATGCCTCATAAACTGTAAGAAAACAATGATTTTTTTGTTGTCGTTAAATATTCGGGAGATTAAGAACAATGACGTGTAGAATCAGTTTTCTGAGAACTAATGCTGTACGCTATAATGCGAAGGACTTCAGCAGAAATCCTTCCGTCCCGCAATGCTGTTTGATGGAATAATGTTCCCAGTGAAATTTTAGTGACAAGCTCTGTGTTAATTAGACCTGATGGCGTATGAATCATAAAGAAGATGCGTTTGCTTTATGCTGCTGCCGCTGTGATGATACCAGCACGTTGCCGAGCAATATATCTAACAAACCTGCAAAATTCGTGCGCCTTTGTCAAGACACTTTGGGTTAAAGAAAGGCAGATGCCTGAACTGACATTAGAGCTTAGATGTCCGGTACGAAAAGAAGATTAGCGTAAATTAAGAAGACAGCTATTCCCATAAGTTTCCTAACCATCATCTATAAAGATAGCCTGCTAGGCCGGTAGCGTTACAGCGGAATTAACCTATACATATATGCCTGATAAGTAAGAAAAGAATTATTGAACTACGTTCAGTAGTAACCTCCGTATCAGGAGGAGGGTAAAAATTTCATGATCAGTCCAGCTGCGTTAAGAAAGCTTTCAGCCACTCCGTTCTTACTTAGCTCGTGCGATAAAACCTCAAATTCTTAAGTGGTACCATTGGGACCGTTAAATAGCTATATTCTATCCCGACTTCAGTGAAAACCACAATGATTCGATTATTCAGCGCATGAGGTTTTGCCATGTGCATCTCTTTATCGTTGAGTTAACGGACATAATGACATCGTCACGTCAAGCCTAAAACGTATTACTCGACGACCCACACGACCAGTTAACTTTTGCATTTATCCTTTTTCAAATGGCCAGTTGGTCATTTTTCATATATCCGATTTTCCTGCTGGAGTGTAATGGTGCTACCTTGCTTCAGTTAATTCTTGCCCTGTTTTAATATTAACGAGCAGAATCTGGTGTTGGCACACTTCATTTCGAACCCAGCCATCGTAAGCAGTGCTTAAGATCAGCATTAAACGTAAAAACTTAAAACGCTTTACGTTCAACAAGAAAATTCTGTTGCAGTTATGATTTAAGAAGCTGATACAAACATTTTGAATAAATAAACTCTCTCAATAACCTTGCTGACCTTTTTTTCTGTGTAATCCTATTGGTGCGCTTGACCTTAGTGCATATAGCGTGCTATTTAACTCGACTAAAAATACTGTAGTATAAACCCAAACAATAAGTTATTGTAAAGTTTACTGGTTTGGTCTGGCGCGATTTTATACTTACATAGTATAAACTCTAGCAGACGTGCAGGTTTATTAGGTCATGTTGCGAAAGGGTACCTTTGTTTCTGCGCTAAAACGTTTCTGAAGCTATAATACAGCGTTGCTCGTAGTCATTTTTCATTGCGACTGATCCATAATTGTTGTACTGATACACTTTCCGAGTTTTAAGCATTTCCAATACCCAGCAATAATTATTTGGTTTTCTATATGCTTGTAAATCACCTTTTGACATAAATCCTAACAAGAATGTTTGATGGATGAAGAATAAATTGCTTGATCTGCACAAAAAAAATATACAGTCACCGAAACTGACCGCAAACTTAGATAGCCTATCTCAACATAAAAATTTTGATCAGATAAACTAACACTAGGCACGCACACATTTACTGAATGTATAGTGGTAGATAGATTTTTGTTGAAATTAATGTTGTTTGGACGGTTAAACCTCAAAGTTGAAAGACACATGGGGTTAACGCCTTAAGTTCTGTCGAAGACTTAGAAGTACTAGAGCCGCAACGTTATAATTATTATTACAGAGCGACGATTCTTCACGTGTCTGGTCTAAGCCAAAGTGCACAGAATTGTCTTTTACAAATTATGAAATGTACGTTGCATTATCATTACAGTCAGCTTGTATTTCAAAGAAAGCAGTCAAAAATATTTCTTATTATTGATTGCCTTCACCAACTTTAAGATTCGTGCGAAACCGTATTATAAAGATAACGTATTCCTTCGCAGGACCGAAATTTTCCTACGGTGATCGCTTCGCTAAAAACCTATTGAGTAGTATGAGATTGGCAAGCTGTGAGGTATGTTAAAGGATTGGTTACTGAACTGTTTCAAGTGACTCACGTTACGAAAGTATACCATCTGGGGGCGATAAAGATAAGATAAACTTGGCCACTCCTCGAGCATCGCTTGTATAGTTTTTGCACATTTCACATTTTTAAATACGATCATAATGATAACTCGAGGGAAATTCAGATGTGGCGATGAAACAGAAGCGCCTGGGCCGCTATCAAAATAAGCTATGACGCAAATTAGGACGTAGAAACACCTAAAGGCATAAAATGCTAGCCGATTATTAATTGTGCCTTTCAAGCCGCTAGCTTAAGTGATATAGATAAGTGATTATAGAAACCATACAGTATGATTGTTACGATGTTTTCTAATCTGTGTGATCAAACTAATTGCCTGTTATAACTATTTTGTGTATAACGACGAGCGATCAACCGAGAATTTTCCAAAACCGCCTTAGCCTAAACAAAGCATTAGCCAAAGGCCATTCAGCTTTTAACTGGCGATCGGCAAATGATTTTAGCAACACTATCAATGTTCAATATACTATTCATGTTCCGACAAACTCTAACAAGTAGTTAGAGTGTATTGAAACCAATGGAACTGGCTTGAGATGTTACCTCAGCCGCAATCTACCGACTTTACACTCGATTTGTTAGCGCTGACGAAGAACCTGGCGAACCGATTTTTCAGCACTCCTTGAACCTTTCTAATATATATATATATATATATATGGTCGCCAAACGCGTATCTAGGAACAAAGGTCTCATAGTGTATTCCTTGTGGGCTATTATCAAAATTCGATGCATTTCGTAAATCCAATATCGAATCGAAGGCTTCTAGGTATTCGGGCAATATCTAGGCGGCCATTCATCATGGCTCAAAAACTTCAGCACCTGATTAATCCGCAACACACATCACAGCCTGCTGGCCACATGTGAAAGTGTTCTTCAGACGATTACCCCGTTTGCTTTCGTGTTCGACCATACACGTCCATACGTATTCAATTCTTCCCCAATACGATATAATGTAGAGTACTGATTAGTTAAGCAAACCTAACGCCGATCGGCATCGAAGTGACTGTTCAAAGTGCCAGGCCTACACAATATTATAACTATCCAACGGCAGCATGGCCGCTAACAATCAACTTCATATAAATCTCAACGGTTTGAAATATTCGGGCGGCAGCTTAGGATATACACTGAACTATTGTACAGTTTTTTTTTTCAATCGTTTTTACTTTTTTTGCTCGGCAATTCTCAATGCTTTATCGTGGCATTCAACCAAACTGCTTCTTTGATCGAGTTTGGTAATTTAATCGTCCAGGCAACACACATCTACCTAGAGCTCACACGCTTTGTCCATGAACACGCACAGCAGCGCCTGCGCACGACAGGCCGATCGACTGCGATTGATACGCGAACTTTAAGCAGACGTGTATAGCTAAATTTTCAGCATGCCATATGGCCACAGTCGAATCAGTTGTATCGCACGAATAACACTAACTCTGATTTACTGTGACTATCGTCTCCGGTCAGGATTTGTGCCTCCCTCCAACAAAGACTGTTAGCTGTAACCTTTTATCTTTTACATCTGCAGCGTGTCTCCATCTCGCTCAGGTCCACGACTAGACGATTCCAACTTGTTTGAATGCACACTTACCCATCAACTGACGCAGATTCACCGTACTCATCTAGGCCGATTCGCTTATCCTCGTACAAATCGATA